CCCGAGGCCATTTCCATGGCCAAAGAGAGCGCTTTCAATGTGTGTATTTTCAAGCATCACAACAATGCAAACCAAAAGATATCTCCACGTAAATTTTTGCGAAATTCAGTCCGCAGGGCATTTTTATCAGTGGGCATGGGTTTTTGGATTTTTTTGATTGGGAGGGGTAAAATGTTTGAAAGGGGTGTGGATTTTAATATTATAAAGCCTATGTCTTGAAAATTTTCCAGAAGGGCATGGGTTTTTAATGTTTTTAAGAAAAGGCGTAGGTTTTTAAGCTTTAAATCAAAGGGCAGGGGTTTTTGAATGTTTTTTGGGATGGAAGGGGTAAATAATTGAAAAGGGTGTGGATTTTGAATTTTTAAAGGAATGATTTGGGGTTTTCTTTAAAGGGCGTGGGTTTTTGGGATTTACATCAAAGGGCATGGGTTTTGGATTTTTTTTGGATTGGGAGGGGTAATAGTTTGAAAAGGGTGTGGATTTTTTATTTTTAATACATATTTAGTGTTTTTTGTGAAATGGCATGGGTTTTAGGGTTTTAAGAAAAAGCATGGGGTTTGGACTTTTTTTTTAGGAATGGGAGAGGCAAATATTCAAAAAGGGTGTGGATTTGAATTTTTGAAGACATTATGGGGTTTTTCTCAAAAGGCATGGGTTTTGCGTTTTTATAAAGGAGCATGGCGTTTTTTATGTTATTTTTTGCAATAGGAGGGGCAAAACATTACACGGGGTGGATTGTAAATTTTTTGAGGAAAGGGGTTACGGTAATTTTTCTAAAAGGTCATGTTTTTTTAAAAAAGGGTATGGATTTTGGAGTTTTTGTTTGAATAGGCGCTGTAACACATTTGTGTTTTGTTTTTAGGGGTGACTTTTTGAAAAATGGCTTTAACTTTCTTTACAAACTGAAAAATGGAAAGAACTTTCTTTACAAAACAAAAAATGGCAAAAAATTTCTTTACAGAACAAGAAATGGCAAAAACTTTCTTTCCACTTCAAAACAGACTACGTTTCGAAATTTTCAGCTTTTAAAAATTCAAAAAACGTCAGTTGAGTCAATTAAAGTCGTTTGAGAAACGTTTTTTGTAACAAAATGGGTTTAACTCTTCTTGTAAGCAAATTCCGACTCGAAAAAGAGGAAAATTAAGAGAAAAAAGGTTTTTATTTACGTTTTTCAAACAAAAAAAAGAGGGCTTTTTGTATGTTTAGATAAAAATTTATAAATTTCAAAAAAGAAAGAGTTTTTCACGGTTTTGTAAAGAAAGTTTTTGCGTTTTTGGGGTTCGAGAAAGAAGTTTTTGTCATTTTTTGTTTTGTAAAGAAAGTTCTTGCCATTTTTTGATTTGTAAAGAAAGTTCTTGCCATTTTTTGTTTTGTAAAGAAAGTTCTTGCGATTTTAAATTTTGTAAAGAAAGTTCTTTCCATTTTTCAGTTTGTAAAGAAAGTTCTTTCCATTTTTCAGTTTGTAAAGAAAGTTCTTTCCATTTTTCAGTTTGTATAGAAAGTTCTTGCCATTTTATAGTTTTTAAAGAAAGTTCTTGCGATTTTATATTTGGTAAAGAAAGTTCTTGCCGTTTTTTGCTTTGTAAAGAAAGTTCTTGCCATTCCTTTGCTTTCCCCATAAACTATTTTCTCTTTTTCTCTACGCACTCTCTCCACTTCTCTCGCTCTCTCGCCTTTTCCTTCCGATTTGAAGGTCATTTTTCGTTTGTAAAAAGCGAAAAGGTTACTGATTAGGTTAAGAAGTAAATAAATCTAAGTTAATTTTACTTTTCAAACCTTTCGAAATCATATTACAATAAAACTACTGTTTTAGGCGAGCTAATTTCGTGTTTTTATAGTCAATTAACGCCTAATTAAGGGTGGGTAGGGTGAGAATGATAAGAGAAATTGTGAAAATATTGGTTTTGGAGGTGTGGAATGAAAGTTATTGCTATTTTTCGTTTTGTAAAGAAAGTTCTAGCAATTTTTTGGTTTTTAAAGAAAGTTCTTGCCACTTTTTGTTTTGTAAAGAAAATTCTTGTTATTTTTTGTTTTGTAAAGAAAGTAATTGTAATTTTTTGTGTTGTAAAGAAAGTTCTTGTTATTTTTGTCTGCACAATCACATTATTTGGGCCTGGCAGACAGTGACAAGTTATACGTTGAATGCCATATGTTTTTATGTCTTGGAAAGAAAGCTATTGCCTTTTTATGATCTGTAAAGACATTTCGGGCTATTTTTTTGTAACGAAAGTTTTTGCCATTTCTTATTTTGTAAAGAAAGTTCTTGCCATTTTCTAGACTTACAATCAAAATTTACGGTTTTGCAGGCTGCGGATGGCCAATTATACGATGAATATTTTTTTGATTTTTTGTAAACAAAGTTCTTGCTATTTTTTGTTTTGTAAACAAAGTTTTTGCCAATTTTTGTTATCAAAAAAAGTCCTTGCCATTTCTCAGTTTGTAAAGAAAGTTCTTGCTATTTTCAGCTAGATAATAATAGATCATCATTATATTACTCTGTAAACCCACGTGGGAACAAATAACTCTTGCCATATTAATCATTATGAAATGTAAAGGAATTCCTTCCACATTTTTTGTAAATAAAGTTTGTTAATTTTAATGAACTAAAAGTGCTTGTTTGATTGACAAAGATGGTTGGGCTACTTGGGGTGCGGTGACGAGAGAGGTGAATATTTGAGCAGTGTAATATCGAAAAATGAAGTTCAAAAAATTTTTTTGATTTTGAAATTTTTAAAATTTTGAATATTTTTAAATTGCTTTAGGCTATTTTTGTGTAAAATACGGGCTTTGGAGCTTTCGTGAACATATTATTGAAAAAATGCACATAAAAAATGGCAATGTAGTGTTTTCTCAGGCTGCAGGCCGCCGGGTACATTTTATACGATGTATACTGTTTTGGTGCTTTGTAAAGAAAGTCCTTGCCATATTCTACTTTGTAAAGAAAGTCCTTGCTATATTTCATTTTGTAAAGAAAGTTCTTGCCAGTTCCCAGCCATAAACTTAGAATTCGGGGTTCTGCAGGCTGCAGGTGACATTTTATACGATGGATGTTAGTTTGATTTTTTGTAAAGAAAGTTCTTGTCATTTTTTGTTTTGTAAAGAAAGTTCTTGACAATTTTTGTTTTGTAAAGAAAGTTCTTGCCATTTCCCAGTCATAAAATTAAAATGTAAGGTCCTGCAGGCTGCGGGTGGCATTTTATACGGTAAATTTCATTTTTACTTTTGTAAAGAAAGTTTTTTGGCAATTCTTAGTTTTGTAAAGAAAGTTCTTGCCATTTTTTGTTTTGTAAAGAAAGTTCTTGCCATTCTTCCTAAAGTTAAAATTTTTCTTTATTTTTTAATTTTTTTTTACCCCTGCCCTCACCCCTAACACCACCCCTATCTTCCTCTCGCCGTTCATTTTGCCTCGATATTGAGTTACCTCTTTATCTGACGTCTTTTACCTCCCCCCCCCCTCACTCGATATTTTTACAATCCATTCACAGATCTGCAAAACATGACGCGAGGGATATGACCTTTTATTTTTTCGACGGGCGACGAAAATTATATGCAAATTTTCATTCATCATTAAACACAAACTTATGGGTTTCTTATCATTTATCGCCACTTCAGGGCGATTTCATGCTATTTTAATTTGATTTGAAGCTGATTTTGACTACCTTTTTTGGATTGGTAGCTTTTGAAATGTCGGGCGGGGTAAATTAGTAGAGGTGCGGATTTTTTTAAGCGGGGAAGATATTTTTTTAGGTACAGACCAATTTTTATGAGAGTAGGGAGTTTTATTAGGGTAGAGTGAGTATGATAAGAGTAGGGGGGGGTGAGTTTGATAAGGGTAGAGTGGGTTTGATGAGGGTAGGGTGAGTTTAATAAAAGTAGGGCGGATTTTTTTGGAGGAAGGGTAATTTTTTTCGAGGTAGGGTTCATTTTTTGAAAGTAGGGTAGATATTTTGAAGGCAGGGTAGATATTTTGGGGGAGGGTGGATTTTTTGAGATGGGGTGGATTTTTTGGAGGCAGGCTACATTTTTTTAGGAAAAGGTCAATATTTGTAAGGCTAGGGCGGCAGGGTGGATTTTTTGGAGGCAGGATGGATTTTTTTAAGGCAGTTTGGATTTTTTGGCGGCAGGGTTGGTTTTTTGGAATCGGGATGGATTTTTTTTATGCAGGGGGTATTTTTGGAAGCAGGATGGATTTAAGGCGGGCTTTCTGCAGGTAGGCTATGGTAACATAGGGTAAGGTAGGAAGAGTAGAGGGAGATAGGTTTAGTAGTTTTTGTATTTTTGTGCAAGAACTTTATTTACATCGATAAAAATTTTCAAAACTTTTTTAATGATTATCTTTTTTTATAGACAAAAAGGGCACTTTTTGATAAGAAAAACTGATTTTTTGTGAAAAAATGGCAAGAACTTTTTTTACAAAACGTCAAAATGACATTCATCGTATAAAATGTCACCCGCAGCCTGCAGAACCTTAAATTTTAACTTTATGGCTGAGAATTGGCAAGAACTTTCTTTACAGAACAAAAAATAGCAAGAATTTTGTTTACAAAACAAAAAATGGCAAAAACCTTCTTTACAAATCAAAAAATGGCAAGAACTTTCTTTACAAAGAAGCTTTTTTTTTTCAATTTTGCAAAAAATTAAAAGGAAAATACTTTTGGGCCGTGTGGTGTTTTATATTTATATGTTAATACGTTCCAACAGAAAATGGCAGTGAAGGAGAGAGGAAAAGCGATCGCGATTGAGTCATTTTTCCCTCAAAATAAACTGAATCTGTTTCCCCTATTATACCTATAATAACACTGATATTATTGCTCTACTACAATATAAAACAATACAAACAAAGATTGTTTTATATATTTATCTGATAAAGATTGGCATAGCTATTGATTAAGATTCTCGAAGGTATTTGTTAAGATTGACAGTGCTATTGGTAAAGATTGGCTGAGCTACTAATAGAGATTGACTATATTATGTTAGGCTAGAACGGAATTAGTGTCAAAATGGACAAAGTACGGCATTTTTTTTCATTTTTAAAATTTTGAAATTGAAAAAATAGAAAAAATAAGCTTTGGAAAGAAATTTCTTGCCATTTATTGGTTTGTAAAGAAAGTTCTTGCCATTTTGAGCCATAAACTTCAAAATCGAGGTTTTGCGAGCTGCGGGTGACATGTTATACGATGGATTTTATTTTTATTTTTTTGTAAACAAAGTTTTTGACATTTTTTGCTTTGTAAAGAAAGTTCTGGACACATCTTAGCCAAAAACTTCAAATTTAAGGTTCTGCAGGCTGTGGGTGACATGTTATACGATGGATATTATTTTGATGTTTTGTAAAGAAAGTTTTTACCGTTTAAATTGGTTTCTTGATTGTAAAATACGTGTCTTCTATTTGTAATTTCAAAATTAAAGGAATTCATTTTAACGACATTTTATACGATCAAACATGTTCAAAATATAAATGCTAGTTGCGCCCTGGGTTTGACATAAAAAAATTTAAAATTTTTTATGGGTTGTAAAATACGGTTGTGCTATTGTTTCTATAAAATTTAAAAAAATAAGGTAGTGACATGTTATACGATGAAACATGTCTCAATGTATATTTTGAGCTGCGCCCTGTGTTTGTTTAAAAAATGGTCAAAATGCCATTTTATATTGATATAAGACTCAATTTAAAAAAAAATTTTTAAATTTAATGTTTTCAAATTTCAGGAGCTTTGCGGTGAGGTAGTTGGACTCGTCGATAAGCACGCTGAGGTGGCGTACAAACGATTGGAACGCCGCGCACTGGCCGTCCGCCAACAGATCGCTGAAAAGATGGACTTCTTCAACCGGCTACACCGTTTCCACGCCGCCGTGGAAACACTGCCCAAGTCGAAGGATCCGATTTTGAAGTTCGAAGCCGGTCAGGTGAGTGGAAACAAAGTTATTGCGGTTTTTGAAAATTTTAGAAATTTTTATTGTCTACCCCTACCCTTACCCCTACCCTTACTCCTACCCCTACCCTATCCTACCGTATTCTGCAGTATCCTTATCCTACATAGCGTTTTTTCTACAGTAATCTTCACTTACAGTTCTCTGACTTACAGTACCGTTGGCTTAAAATTACTGTATCTTACTGTACAGCACTTCTTTCTTACTTTACAGTACCCTTATTTGGCTTTACGGTACCCAACCTTACTAAAGACAATTTTTTTAGATTGATGAAATCTTGGCCGCAGCGAGGGCGCAGCTCGAAACAATTGAAACCCGATTGTCGTCGGATCGGGAGTCGATTGAGAATGAGCTCCGCGCTCTCTTCGAACAAAATCAACCTGAACAAACACCCAAAGACAACTTTTTCATAATGGAACAGGATCGAGTACGAGAAAAGTAAGAGTTTTGATACTGTAAATTTTTTGGTATACCGTAACGTTTTTTTCAAAATTTTTAGGATTCTGTAACTTTTTTGGTATACTGTAACTTTCTTGGTATACTGTAACTTTTTTTAGAATTTGCGTAATCTTTTTGGTTTACTGTAGCTTTTGGTATACTGGGAATTTTTTTGGTGTACTGTAACTTTTTTTGGTATATTGTAACTTTTTTTCAAAGTTTTTTAGGATTCTGTAACTTTTTTGTATACTGTAAATTTTTTGGTATACTGTAATTTTTTTTAGGATTTAATAATTTTTTTTGGCTTACTGTAGCTTTTGGTGCTTTTGGTATACTGTAATTTTCTTTTTCAAACAATAACATTTTCTTTCAGATTTCGGCTGATCTGTGCCAAATTGGAGGAGAGTAGAAACATCATTCAAACCCGACAGGACTACCTTCAAAACTGTGTTGAATTGATGCAAATTCTCGCAGAACCTCCAGCTGGACCCTCAGGGTCGTCTCAATATCCAACTTTGGTAAGGTTTCAAAACTTTATTTAAAATTATTCAAATTATTAAAAAATTTTTAAAATTAAAAAAAAAATTGGCAAAAGGACATTTTAAATCTATATTTACACTTTAAACATCCCTTTCTACAGTATTCTGCCTAGACATGAGCAACGGGCCGGGCCTGAGCAAAATCAAAAACAGGCCGGGCCTAAAAGTTAGGCCCGGCCCGCGGGCCGGGCTTGAAACTTGGGCCCGGCCCGTTGCTCATTTCTAATTCTGCCCTTACAAGTTCGAGTCCGTTTGGAGAAAGAAGGCTGTATTTTGGTTTTTGATCAATAAAAATTGTTGTTTTTTGTAAAATACGAAAGATTTTGTATTAGGTTTTATGACTTTTTTTTAAATTTTTTGGTTGTTCAAAACGGTACTGTTTAAAAATGGCATTTGTTTTTAACTTTTTGAAGTTTTTGGGTGTTTTGAGGAAAAAAATGCATTTTATGTCATTTTTTGTTAGAGTAAACTTGAAAAAGTGGTTTGTATAGATAGTTCATTATCTCTTGTTTGATGTTCTTTCATTTTATAAATTTTGGTAAAAGAAGTTTAGCCAATTTTTAAATTTTAGTCGAACGAAACCCGCGAAAAACTTGACCATTTGGCGAAAGAGATGCCCGCTCAAGAGCAAATCAGTCGATTATTCCTGGACAATATTGAATACGAAAAATCGAACGCCGGTCAATTTTACCACGCCCAACGTTCGGATTCGATTCTAAAAGAGGTAGGTTTGAATTCATGGTTTTTTAGGCTTATTTTGAGGGATTTCGCATTAAAAATGGCATTTTTTGAGGTGGAAAGAAAGTTTTTGCTGAAAAAGTTGGTTTTAAATTTAAACTTTGGGGAAAAAATATTTTTGCCTTACCTTTTAGGTTATGGTGAATATAATTTTTTTTGCAATTTTTCAAAATTTCAAAATTTTTTTTTGTAAAGAAAGTTTCTGCAGCACTGTGAAATTCGGTCGAAATAAGCTTAAAATACGAGCTTTCGCTTATAACTCGGGATCAAATAACCAATATTAACATCTTAAACATTAAAAGTTTTCAAAATTTGCATAAAATACGCTGTAACGCTATAATATAACACGATTATGTTACTCTTGTCCGTCCTCGCTTCAATCTTTGGTTATGGCTAAAGTAAGGTGTAAAATACGGTCTTCAATTGTTTTCTGTCATATAGTAGCCAAAAGAGTCACAATATACCATATTTTTGGAATCTTTAGTTTTAAAAACATTGTCATGATGACACATTTTTGTCCGAAAATTACGTCATCTTGACATATTTAGAATATTTTTTTTATTGATATGAATTCTTCAGTTTAGCTTGACATATTTTTTAAACGAAGTAAATGAAAAAGCGTCATCATGAAACTATTTTTAGAAAGGATGACATATTTTATAGAATTGTCAAAAATGATATATATGTTATGCTGACACTTTTTAGATGACCATAGCTAACTTATTATTTTTAAAAAATGTGTCATGGTGAATATTTTTAAATGGTCATGCTGACCGTTTTAAAAATGCCATGATGATGTCTTTAAATTTGTCATGATGACTTTTTTTAAACATGTCATGATGACTTTTTTAAATATGTCGTTATGACATTTTTAAATGTGTCATAATGACGTTTTTTAAAGGTGTCGTGGTGACTTTTTTAAATATGTCATGATTACTTTTTAAATATGTCATGATTATTTTTTTAAATGTGTTACGATGCCCGTTTTAAAATATGTCAAGATGACTAATAAATCGTATTTTACACTGGAATCCGTTTTTTTTGTTTTTTTTTCGTTTGCACTAAACAGTACTCACAACAACATGTTACCCATGCCTTGTTGTACTGTTTGTAGACTTCATTTCAAAGTCTCGACTCGAAACTTCGTGCCATCTTCCCTTCAGTTCTCGCACACCAAAGCCATTACGGACCCGAGCATGGTCATCTACTGGTTCCCATCCTTAGGGTAGGACACTGGGGTACTGTAATGTAAATGGTACCGGTTAAAAAAGCAGGGTGATAGGGTAGGGTAGGGTGCGATACGGTACGGTAGTCTTGGGTAGGGTACGGGAGGGTAGGGTAGGGTAGGGTAGAGTAGGGTAGGGTAGGGTAGGGTGCGGTAATGTAGGGTAGGGTGCGGTACGGTAGAGTAGTGTACAACCGAGTGAGGTAAGGCAAGGTAGAACAGGGTACAGTGAGATAGAGTTTAGTGCGTTATAGTAATAGTACTGTAAATGACTGTAGGTCAGGTTCTATAGGGGTAGGGTGGATTATTTTTAGGGCAGATCAGATTTTTTAAGCAGGGTGTGGTCTTTTAAGTGAGGCTCTCTAAGGCGGGTTTTTGAGGATAGGATACAGTAAGGTAGGCTAATTTTGGTGAGGTTACGGTAGGGTAGTGCAGGGTACGGTATTGCAAGTTAAGTTAAAGTAGGGTATAGTATGGTAGAGTGTATAGACTAGGGTATGACAAGGTAGGGTAGGATAGAATAGAGTAGGGTCGGGTAGAGTACGGTAGGGTAGGTTAGGGTAGGGTAGAGTAGGGTACGGTAAGTTATGGTAAGTTAGGGTATGGTACTATATAGTACTATAATAAAAATTTTTCACTTTTATATTCTTTTATATGTAAAGCACCAAAAGTAATGTTGTTATGTTATGGCACAGGTATTTTAAAGTTTTTCTATTTTTTAATTTTAAATTTAAAATTTTTTTTTTAATTTGAAATTTTTCAAAAATTTTAAAGAATCAGCGCAAAACTTTCAGGAACGGCTTCGTGCTGAACAGAAATCGTTGGAAGAGTTTGAACACCGTTCCCACGATTCCCCCTCGCTAGCCAGCCGGCTAGCCGCCCTCAATCAGATACACGATGAGAAAGCGGACGAAACGCAACAATTGATTGACGATTTGATTGCGCAATCAGTGAAATCGCTAAAATCTGATCTGGACACACTCTCTGGCCAAGTTGATGCCCAAATCGCCAACGGAGATTTAATTGCCCTAAGGCATTTGGCCGAAACCGACGGCCGAAGCCTGCACGCTAGACTAATGGAAATAGCCGAAGCGCTGGATGGGCAGGGCCTGGAACAGCTGAGACACAAGTGGCATCCACATCAACGTGATCTGGCTAGAAATTTGGCTATTATTAGGAATAAACTGGACCGCCACTTGATGGAGAAACAGGCCAGACGAGAGAAGCGATACTTAGACAAACTAGATGCCTTTGGGGCATGGCTGGATGTGGTAAGGGGTTTTGGTCAGGGTTGAATAGGGTAGGGTAGAACAGGGTAGGGTGGGGTAGAATAGGTGGAGTAGGGCAGGGTAGGGTAGGGTGGGTTCATACTGTAGGGCGGGATAGGATAGGGTTGAGTAGAATAAGGTAAGGTGGGGGTAATCATGACATATTTAAAAAAGTCATCATGGCACATATAAAAAAGTCATAATGACAAATTAAAAAAAAACGTCATTATGACATATTTAAAAATATTGTCATGACGCATATAAAACACGTCATTATGACATTGTAAAAAATATCATCATGACAAATCTAACTCATTTATGCCATTTCAGATTGAACGCGAACTGGAAGAAACCCTGAACAGCGACGAGCTGGACCCACACGAACGTGACACCAAGCTACACGAGATCCAAGAGATCTGCAACGAACGTGAGGTGCTGGCCTTCAAGCTGGAGACCTTCCCCTTCGAGGACCTCAGGCAGAAGGACCAAGCCCTCAAGTACACCGAGCGCTACCACGACCTCATGAGCCGACTGGACGAGCTCCACCTGAGCCAACCTCGCCACATCCCGGTCTACATGGAGAGTGGACGGCCAGGGACCTCTCAGTCCGGGATCAGCGGGATCAGCAGCCCCAGCATGGACATATCGGCTAGCGAGGAGCTGGACAGCGACCTCCAGTCAGTCCAAAGCGAAGCAGTCAGGGTCGAGTCGGAGCGGTTCGCTAGGTATCAGCCACCTGAAGATGAAGCCGACTTGATTCAGGAGTTGGCTAGGAAGGCTACTACAACTAGTGGACAGGTTGGTTTTTGTTTGGCTGGGGTGGAGTGGAGTTATGGGCTGAAAAAGGGCGATTTAGGGGGTGGTGTTCTTGGGGAAAAATGAGGATTTTGAAGTTTTTGGATGTCATAATGACATTTTTTAATGTGTCATGGTGACTTTTTTAAACTTATCGTGGTGATATTTTTAAGTATATCATTATGATAGTTTTAAATGGGTCATTATGACATTTTTTAATTTGTCGGTATGACATTATTTACATGTGTCATGATGACCTTTTTAAATGTGTCATAATGACGGTTATGAAGTTTTTTAAATGTTTCATTTTGACATTTTTTAAATGTGTCATGATGACTTTTTTAAATTTGTCTTGATGAAATTTTTTAATGTGTCATGATGACTGTATTTAAATGGGTCATTATGACATGTTTTAATATGTCTTTATGACGTTTTTTAAATGTGTAATCATGACGATTTTTAAATTTGTCATGATGACATTTTTAAATATGTCATGGTGACGTTGTTTAAATATGTCATAATGACATTTTTTAAATGATTCATGGTTACCTTTTTTAAATATATTATTATGACATTTTTTAGACTTGTCATGATGATTATTCTAAAAGTGTCATGATGACATTTTTTAAATCGCAGAAAAACGCTGAAAAATCTTAAAAATAAGGGTTTCTTGAGCATTTTTAAACGAGTTATAAATTTTTTTATTACCCAAATAACCCATTACCATCAGATCGACATCCCGGTCGATAAGATCCGCAAAGAAGTTGCGGATATACTACAACAACTACATGAAATCATCGAGAAGTATGTCCAACCACCGCTGGAAAACGTCGAAACGGCCAGAACCGACGCTTCCCAGCTAAAATACGTGATTAAAAAGCTGTCGAAACAACGCAAAAACATACTGTTGATATGTGAAAAGCTGAAGACTTCGAGTGATAAGAAGAGGAAGCAGCTATCGAAGACGGCTTCTGAAATTCGAAGGGAAAAACACTCGGCTAAGGTAGTATTTTCGGGGTTTTCGGGGGTTGGAAAGAAAGTTCTTGCCATTTTTTTCTTTGGTAAAGAAAGTTCTTGCCATTTTTTTTTTTGTAAAGAAGTTCTTGCCATTTTGTGTTTTGTAAACAAAGTTCTTGCTATTTATATTCAAAACAATCTATAAATATGTGTCGTGCAGCCTGCGAGTGACAAGTTATACGATGAATCAGATTTTTTATTTAAAAACTCAAAAATTGTTGTTTCGCAGCCTGCGGGTAACAAGTTATACGATGGATAGCGTTTTTTGTTTTGTAAAGAAAGTTCTTGCTATTTTTTGTTTTGTAAAGAAAGTTCTTGCCATTTCTTGTTTTGTAAAGAAAGTTTTTGTCATTTTTTGTTTTGTAAAAAAAGTTCTTGCTATTTTTTGTTTTGTAAAGAAAGTTTTTGTCATTTTTTGTTTTGTAAAAAAAGTTCTAGCCATTTATATTTGAAAAAATGAAGATTTTCGGGTTTGCAGCCTGCGGGTGACAAGTTATACGATAAATCACATTTTACAAAACTTTATGTCTTGTAAAGAAAGTTTCTGCTATTTTGTGTTTTATAAAGAAAGTTCTTGCCATTTTTTGTTTGTAAGGAAAGTTCTTGCTATTTTTTGTTTTGTAAAGAAAGTTCTGGCTATTTTTTAAAACATATCTTTCAGCACTTCTACAAAGACTTAGTATCAGAGATCGAGGAGGAGATCCAGCTTCGCCTCAACTACCAGAACATAACCCAGAACCTGGAGCAGTTGGAGAGTCGGGTGAGGGCAGCCGCCGCCTCCGGCAACACCTCGGACGCCCTGGACATGTTGTCGAAGCTGGAGTTGGAGGTGGAGTTGCTGAAGAAGCAGTGCAAGAGGTCGAGGAAGTACGTGGCGTGTGCTGTGGAGGGCGGGGTAGATGCCTCGCCGTCGAAGAAGAGGCGGATCTTGGTGAAGATCACGAACTCGGTCACGACCATCATCAAGGTGGTGGAGGATGAGCTGCGACGTCAGCGGATACAGTATCCTGGACATATGGGACCGTATCAGCAGTCGGTACCGTCCACTTCGGCTGAAGGTAGGTTTGGATACGGTAATGGTGATGTAGGGTACTGTAGCTTTGTTGAAGGTTACAGTAAATTTGTTTTAAGGTTACAGTAACTTCTTCAAAAGCTACAGTAACCTTTTTGAAGGCTACAGTAAACTTCTTGCAGAATACAGTAACTTTTCTGATGGCTACAGTAAACTATCGTACCCTTCCTGAAAATTCCCGTAGTTGTTTTGAAAACTACAGTAACCTTCCTTAACGCGGTTATACCAGATTCCCTAAATAATTACAATAATTGAATATAAATGTGACTATAAAAGGAGATTGAGAAAACAATTATATAATATATAATATTACTTACCGTTTTATTTAATATCCCTGCCTGTTTGAAGATGGGATGGAAACGGGAATAACGAATCTTAGACATTTTGGATTAAAGGCCGATCGGCCTGATCAGATAAGGAATCTTTGTCCCTGGGAAAGATACCACAAGAAGCTACAGTATCCTTTTTTAAAACTACAGTAACTTCCTTGAAGGTTACAGTAAATGTTCTTAAAACTACCGTAATTTTTTGAAAAATACGGTAGCCTTCCTGGAGGCTACAGAAACGTTTTTGTAAACACTGTAACCTTACGCTACAGTACTTTTACTCAAGGTTATAATTTTTCAGAAGGCTACAGTAACCTTTCCGAAGCCTACAAATCTCCAGAAGGCGGAAGCGATTCAGATTTCGGAGAGCTACACCGTAAGCTGAGTGCTCTACACAGTCAGACATCTGACGTTGAGGCCAGTCAAACCACCATCTCCGACCAACCGACTCCAGTTCCAGAAGATCGTGACGAGAATCTGGAAGCCGTGTTGGCTTCGGCTGCCAACGTAAAACAGAATCTGGATGAGGTTGTTGGAAACGATGGACAAGACTACGATGAACTGCTACACAAGTCTAGGGTAAGGTGTTGGGGAGGGTGGGGTAGGGTAGGAGGGGGGGGGTATGTTATAGTATGGTAGGATAGAGTAGGGTGGAGTACGGTATGGCATGATATGGTAAGGAAGGGTAGGTTAAAGTAGGTTAGGGTAGGTTAAGGTCGGGTAGAGTAAAACTAAGGCTAGAGGAGCAGGGTGGGACAAAGACAAGTAAAGTAGAGTAGGGTACCTTGGCTTGGGCTGGCATAGGGTAGGGCATGAAATAAATGGTAGGACAAGAGTAGGTGGGGCAGGGATCGAGCCATATTAGAGTCGAACAGGGTTAAGTGTAGAGCTAAGGTACGGTAGGGTGGGATAGGATAGAGTAGGGTAGGGTAGGGTAGGGTAGGGTGGGGTAGAGTAGGGTAGAGTAGAGTAGTGTAATGTCGGGTAGAGTAGAATAAGGTGGGGTAGGATAGAGTTGGGTAGGGAACAGTAGATTATTAATTTTTTTCTTTTAGGAAATTCGCTCCGGCCTCGAAGATGCTTTGGATCGTATTGATGCTGATCAGAACAAAACACCAATCATGTTGATGTACCGTGAGCAAATACTCGACCGTATTCAGGGCATGCTGGTAAGGTTTTGTCATTTTGTGTTCTGTAAAGAAAGTTCTTGCCATTTCTGGTTCTGTAAAGAAAGTTTTTGCCACTTCTTGTTCTGTAAAGAAAGTTCTTGCCATTTCTGGTTCTGTAAAGAAAGTTTTTGCCACTTCTTGTTCTGTAAAGAAAGTTCATGCCATTCTGATTACTACTACTAAATCCTTCATTTTCAGGACGCGGAAGACGCGGCCCGTGCCACGAAACGCGCGAGAACGGCGGCGGTAAGCGAGTCGGGCGTGCTGTTGGAGAAGGTGAAGGCCGAGCTGAGTGCGGTTGAGCTGCTTCTCCACCCCCACCAACCCCAACCACCCGCCCACCTCATGCAAGTCGAACTGAATCGGGCGGCCGAATTGTTGACGGACGTGTTGAGTGCCACCGATACATTACCACTAACCCCAACACAAGCTAACCAACTGGTCCGCAAAACCGACCAATTACGGTATGCTGTTTTGTTAACTTGTTTTCGACGGAGGATTTTTTGATTTTGAATTTGAAAAAAAAACTTTTTTTTTTAAATTTTGAAAATTTTTGAAATTTAAAAAAAAATTTTGGTTTAAAAAAATTTTGAAATTTGAAAAATTTAGAACCAAAAAACTTCAAAATTTTACTTTTTTTAATTTTTTTTGTGAAAAAGTCCGGTTAAAACACCGAAAATTAAAAGTTAGAAAGCCAAAAACTTTTTGTTCCGCAGCCTGCCAGTGACAGGTTATACGAAGGATGGCATTTTTGTTTGTAATGGAAGTTTTTGCCATTTTTCAATTTGTAAAGAAAGTTCTTGCCATTTTTTGATTTGTAAAGAAAGTTCTTGCCATTTTTTGTTTTGTAAAGAAAGTTCTGGCCATTTTTTGCTTTGTAAAGAAAGTTCTTGCCATTTTTTTGATTTGTAAAGAAAGTTCTTGCCATTTTATGCGTATTTTAACCTTTTTTTTCTATATTAACCTTGGCCAACCTTTTCAAATGTTAACAACTCTACTTTAATGACTTCATTCTTTATATTATCTTGCACTGCAGTTGAAAAAAACTGTCAAACTCAATTGAATGATACCAAACGTTATCAAAATTAATCTTTCCCAATTCCAGAGCCGCGACCGAGTCGCTAGCAACAGCGACGAAGCAGAGGAGCTACGTCGAGGACCTGACGTCGCAAGCGTGGCGCCTTCTGGACCTCCTGAACCACACCGTCGACGCTTCACTGTCGTCGTTTCCGCTGTCATTACAACCCGCCATTGACGAGGCGTTGACACTGGACGCGCACGATGAAACCCAACGACAACTGAGCGATTGTGGCGACGAGTTGCGGGTGTTGGATGAGCAACATCAGTTGTTGCCACAAATCGCTACAACTTTGGAAAAATACGAAAATTTGAAACGGAAACTGGCTTCAGAAGTCGCTACGGAGAAGGAGAGACAGCAGCAACATGTTGCTGCAACTCAGCAACTTTTAGAAAACCTAGAAAGAGTGGCAACTTTGGATGAGCTAGATAAGTTGGAACAGCCAATTAAAGAAGAGCTGGTGGTACTACAACAACATCATGGTTATGTCATACCTGATCTTACCGTGTTGAATGGTATGATCAATGCTATTGATGCCAAGAGAAGGCAACTTTTGGAGGCGATTGCGGCCAATGAACAACAAGCCAAGCTGGTCAATTTGTGGATGAAGAGAAAGGAGAGAATCGAGAAGAAGATCGAAGAGATTCTGGCTACAACTATCGTCATTGCGCCAAGATACGGCGTAGCTTCTGAGGAAGAGGTCTCTGGAGATGTTGCTACAGAACTACGGGGCAGTTCGGCCGCAACTGATGAGGCTACGGAGGTTTTAGAGGGTACTAGAGCTTATGAAGGGCCAGAAGCTTCTTCTAAGGCTTCTGAAGAGCCAGTGACTGCTTCCAAGGCTTCTGAAGAGCTACAGGGTCCTTCTAAGGCTTCTGAACAGCTACAAGGAACTTCAGCGCCCTCTAAGGCGCCAAAGGCTTCAGAATCCAAAGGAAAGTCCAAGAAGTCAAAGTCGAGAAAGCGAAAGTCGACCTCAGGTGACAAATCTGAATCCTTTGAGAAGCCTCCTGAATCCACATCTAAAAAAAATTCAGAATTCACCTCCATAGAACCTTCAGAATCCACCACCAAACAGCCTTCAGAATCTGATCAACCTTCTCATCCAAAACCCTACACCCAAGCCCAAGACGACATCCTAAGCCTAGAACAGGCCCTAGCTCGCACACAAAAGGCCAAAGAGAATCTAAACGAAGCCGAAAGCTGGCTTCAAAAAGCGGCCGAAGACATGAATCCAGAAGTCATGAAGGACGCGCAAAATCGCCTCAAAATCGACGAAGAAAAGCTGAAAACAGAAGAAAAACGGATTCTAGGCATCAAAGAGAAGCTTCAAAAAGAAGTAGCAGCAAAATCAGAGCTTATCAGTAGCCATAATATTGTCATCGAACATGTCAATGACCTAAATCAAAAAGCCAAAGAAATCCGAGGTCAATATTCGGATTCAGAAGCCAAAAAAGCGGCCTACATTGACGTTCTTAAGCGTGTGGACGCTGAATTAGAAGTCATAGATCGCCTACAAAAAGACGCTGAATTGAAGCCAACTGATTGGGTACAGAATCCAGAAGGCATGAACCTTGAAGACCTTGAAAATAAGATCAAAAAATTTGAGGATGCCATTAGAATCGAGCTACAGAACCTTGAAGACGCAGAAAAGGCCAAAAAATTCAACGAAGAAAGCGCAAAATTAGCCGAACAAGTGCATGATGTACTACACAGTGTTGATGACAATTTGAAAAATGATGACATAAATTCACTAAAAGAAGCGGAATCCCAATTAGTAGCGTTACAACCAACCATTGTCACCATGAAGGAGTTGTACGCTCATTTGAAGCCAATTGAGGAAGCTTCAGAATCCGTGAAATCGGAAGACGTGAAACAAGTAGAAGTGCTTGAAAACACGATATCAGATAAGCGGCAACAAATTGCTGACAAAATTGATCAGATTATCACCGTGCGGATTCAGGCATTTGAGAAAATTGAAAGGGAAATCAATGAAATTATCGAAATCGAGCTGTTTGACGATGAAAAAGCTACAGAATTACAAAAGAAACTTGATGAGAAAGCAGCCGAAAATGAAGAATTTTTAAAGAATCTAGAAGGTTTTGATCTACCGTCAGCTGAAAACCTCAAGAACAAGGTTAAGAACGCTGAGGATGATAAACAAAAGCTGGTCAAGGCGGCTGAAAAGGCCGAAGAACAAAGAAAATTGGCTGAAAAAGAACAACAAGCAGCTGAGAAAGAAAATGAGTTTAAGGAAAATATTGATAAATTGAAGCCAGATGTAGAACAACTCCAGAAGAAGCTAGACCAAGCCAAGGCTAGTCCGCTGAGACCAGTAGAAGCTGTTGATAATGAGATTAAAGGTTTGAGAAAGGCACAATCTGCCATTCCTAATTTCCTATCAACAATTGAAGACCTAAAGCAACAAGTTGTTGATCTCCCATCAACCTCAAAATTGCCTTCAGAACTCAATGACCTTCAAACTACCATAACCTCCCTTAATCAAGAATACGATGCCTTTATCAGTGAGCTTATTGTAGCCCAACGTGACGAACTCGGAATCCAAGAATTCACGCTACAGCTCAGTAACAAAGCTGACCTACCAGATATTGCATCGGTTGACAATGCTACAGTATCCCGAATCGTTGATGAACAAATCCCGACGATTCGCAAGGAAATCGAACAACTGAAGATTCAAAGTGTCACCGTAGCAGCGAAACGAGATTTTGTACGAAGAGGCGACGGTGTGGCTACAGAGCCCTACGATACGATTCTGATGAAGTTGAAGGACTTCGAAAAGAAGGCGGAGTTGAGAAAACAAGAAGGAGAGATCAAGGAGAAAGAGGAGAACATCAGACAAATGATTGCGAGATTCAGAAGGCCGCTACAAGAGCTGGAAGAGAATAAGTTGAGAAGCGCAAAGCAGGCCGAAGACGATATCAAGAATTTGATGGATACACAGCTGAATCTTACCGAACTTTCTGATGCTTTAGGTACGATGAAGTCTGAAGCTGGCTCCTTACCTCAGGCTCAAGAATCTCAGAAACAAATTGAAGCCGAAGCCAACAAACTCATCGATGATTACGAGAGAATCATTAGCACGTTGATGGTTGAGCTCGAAAACGAGCTTCAACAACGCCGTGCCGCCGATGACCTTCAGAATCGCTACAACCAAGCTAAGAATCAACCTGAACAACTACAAGTCTTAGCTCCAGAATTAACATCAGAAGCTGCTGATTTAGTCAAAGAATCAGAAGCTATAGCGAAAGAAAGGAATTTAGTACGTCGTGGATCGGAAGGCGTGTTGCCAGAAGCTCAGATTCTGAATCAGCTGAACGATTTACAAACATCAACGCTACTGAAGGATTTTGGACAACAACACGATTTTCTACAGAAGCTATTGGGAACGTGCAACGATGCTGTCCAGGATACGATAATATCCGGAGTTCAGGCTGCCAAGGCTTCTGAAGACAGCGTAAAGGCCTTGGTCCATGTTCAGTCCACGCTGCCTGAAGTATCTGGTGTTTTGGAGGAACTTAGCGTTATTGCCGACAAGCTACCTGAACTAGAGGCTCCAAAAAGCACGATACAACTTCGCAAAGAAGACTTTGAAAGTTTAAAGAACCAATTTGATGATGTTATTGGGGCAGTCATGGTGGAATTGGAAGACGAGCTACAGAATCAAGAAGAAGTACGCAGGATTCAAGAAGAATTGGATGGCACTGTAGCTAAACTCACTCAGTTAAACAAGAAAGAAGCTAAGAATGTGAAGAACAACGTGCTGGTGCCGATGAAAAAGAAGGTAAAGGAACTTCGGGAACAAACTCCTAAGCTAGCTTCTACCAGACGTCATGTTAGACCAGAAAATGATGAACAAACGTTGAATGAACTCCTACAAAAGGTTAAAGAACTTGAAGTAGCATGTGATAATGTCGGCAAAAAGGACAAAACCTTAGAGAAAGCCAAGAGTATTGACAGGGAAATTAATCAAATGATCTTAAAACTCAACGATGCTACGAGTGTAGGCCCTCAACTGGCGGAAAAATGTGTAGAAACTCTGAACAAACTCAATGAATGTCTAGCTATTGGCGAAGACATTCAAAAGAAGCTTCGGGAATTGCACGATGTAGCCAAAAAGGAAAAATGTCCAGAAGAATATCAAAAACGAAACGTGGACTTTGAAAATGTGTCACTTGGAATCACAAACACTATTGATGCATTAACCACAGAGCTACAAGACGACAATGCGCTTCGGCAAGAAATCGAAGCCTACGTTGAGCGCCTTAACGAGGATACTAGTCCAGAAGTTATAGCTGAAATCAAGCCAAAATTAGAAGAGTTGAAGGACAAAGTAGCTGCACAACAAAGATCATACGTTGTGCAAGGTAATGGAAGCCAAATCGACTCTGTTTTAGATAGTTTGAAAAAACTGGAAGAACTAAAACATGCTGTAGATGAAGAAACAACTTCCCAATTGGCCAAAGATCAAGAGATTCCGGAGATTCGAATTACTAAGGAAGAAGTCGAACCTGTTCAAAAACAAGAACAAATTGACGTTAAATCCGATACCCAACAAGCTACTGAACCAGCAGCCGAAACTCAAGCAACTACTGAGGTAGAGAGATCTAAAGGAACAGACGAAGCCGACTTTGTGCCAGCAGTAGTTTCAAAAGAAGTTAGGGAGTCTTCCGAACCACATCTGGAGAAACCAGAAGTACCAGCTACAGAAGAAGCTCAAGAAGAACCATTGCCACCAGTTCATCCACCTGAGAAAGAACTTCAAGATGTGATTAAAGATGAACCAGAGATTCCAAGTATTAAGGTCACAGAAGCTCCAGAAGTCGCTAAAGAACAAGAGCCTGAAGTTTTGGAAAAACAAAAAGTTACCGATTTTGAAGAGCAACAAGTTTCAGAAGCTCCAGAAGCCGTAGAAGAAGATAAATTAGAGAAACCCGAAGTACCAGTTACAGAAAAAGCTCAAGAAGAACCTTTACCACCAACACATCCACCAAAAGAAGAACTTCAAGATGTAATAAAGGATGAGCCCGAGGTTCCAAGCATTAAGGTCACAGAAGCTCCAGAAGTCGCTGAAGAACAGGAAGTTACACAGGCCTCTGAAATCGTCACAGAACCAGAAGTTAGTCCAGAAAAAGAACAAGCTAAACAAGAGCCACAAGCTGACTCAGAAGAACAACAAATAAAGACTGAACAAGAAGACGATAAATTAGACAAACCAAAAGTACAAGCTACAGAAGAAGCTCAGGAAGAGCCATTACCACCAACACATCCACCAAAAGAAGAGCTTCAAGATGTCATAAAGGATGAACCAGAGGTTCCAAGCATTAAGGTCACAGAAGCTCCAGAAGTCGCTGAAGAACAAGAGCCAGCAGTTTTGGAAAAACAAAAAGCTTCTGACTTTGAAGGACAACAAGTTACCGCAGAGGCTAAAGAGCCAAGTGTTGAAGCTCTTAAAGAACCTGAAACTTCAGCACAAGCAGCCGTTAAAGCTCAAGAAAACGCCGCACAAAAGCCATCAATAGACAAGAAGAAACTGAAGAACCAAATCAAGAAGAAAATTAATGAAATTTCGGATGCTCTTCGTGTTATTGAAAACCGAAAGAAGATCAACCCAACTGTTGAAGACAATCGTGATATATACATTAACGCCAAAAATTTGAATCCATCAGTTGATGAGCTTAAACAACTAGTATTACAATTGGATGATCCAAAAGAATCTAAAAAGGCTGATGACATAGCTGCCAAAGTTGAAGCGCAAAACACAGACACTTTGCAACGACTACAAAACACCTACCAAGACATTAACGATAAGCTTGTGGAACTAACAGACAAAGCTTCTGGTTTTACTACTAATTCCAAATCAACACCTGTCGATTACATTGAGCTACAAGAACATTTCGTGGATACTCTTGTTCACGCAGCTGAATTAGATTCTGATCTCAATAAGCTTCCAGAAGAACAAGAAGCCCATAGAGCTTTAAATAAGGCTATTGAGGTTTCAACAGAAAATCTCAACAAAATCAACGACATTGTCAGCAATATCGACCGGTTGAAGAAGCAAAAAGAAGTGGTAACCGGGCTTTTGGACAAGGAAGGCAAAATCATTGAGAAAATCGAAAACGCTGGCCAGCAACCACCAACCAAAGCGGAAGACGAGGCAAATGTTTTGAAAACTCAAAATATTAACCCAATCACAAGCGAAATGGATAAACTTCGAGAAATCGCGGACAGTTTGCCCTACATGGAGTCTGTCGATTCTGACATAAGATTTATCAAAGAGGAACTATCACAACTACCAGCTGATCTTGAGCACACTACCAAAGCTATCATCGAAGAACTAAGGAACGAAGATGATCTCTCCGAACGGGTCAATGACGAACTCGATAACATTCAACAACTCTTCGTGTCGTCAGACGACGCTGACGAACTTGAAAAAGTCCTCAAAGAAAAAATACCACAATCACGCGAAACACTTCAAGAACTACAGAAGTCAGTAGACAAAGCGTTTGCTAACCGAAAGTTTGTGGAACCGTCTGTGATACCAGTAGCACACCTTGTGTCACTGTTAAACGAAAAAGAGCAAGATATGCAAAAACGTTTGGATAAAGTCAAGTCTAATCGTGCTAAACGAGAACCACCAACAGAAGAAGCCCGAAGACAAGTGGAAGAGCACGCAAAGACAGTTTTGTCATCGGCTGAAGACATTCTAAAACCGTTTACTCAAGGACAACCACCACAAGATCTAGAGGCTGTCGAAAATGCTTATCAACAAACTTTGCCAAAACAAAATGAACTTAAAGAAGAACGAAACCATGTCACAAAAGCTATTGATGACCTCAAGAAAGCTAAAGACATTAAACTCAAGAAGAAGGACAAGTCAATTGCTCACTTGAAGAAACTGGACGATCAGCTACTGCAAAAAGAAAACGATTTAGCAGAGCTGAATGAAAATTGGCCGATGAAATTAATAATCACAAAGAACTGAAAAATAAGGCTAACAACCTACTTTCCAGTTTGACGGAATTAGAGGCATTATTGCAAAAAGATCAAAAAGTATCTGACTTGGACAAAAAACTGTCCGACCTTAACCAGCAGTTGGCTCAGCTACAACAAAACGTCGGACCATTCATTTACGTCAGCCAAGTTTCAGAAATTAGCAATAAACTGGCTGACATCAACAAAAAAGCAGATACAGCAGTACAATCCAAAGATGAAGAGAAAAAATACAAGCTTCAAAATCAAGAAAAAGATATCGAATTCCTGCTACAAAAACTATCTGACGAGTTGAAAAATGCAGAAGATACCCTAGCAGACCCCAACGCCAGCGTTGACAAGCTAAAGAAGGCCGTTGAACTTTTGGAAACAACGAAACCACGATTCAGTGAGTTATCCAAAATCTACGAAGACTTGGAACCAGAGGACGATGAGAGCTCGGAACTTCGCAACAAAACCGCTAACCAATTAGCCAAATTGAACGAACTTTTCGATGCCAACCGTCAATCAGTCAACGACAGAATCGACGCTGCTTTAGCCAAGCCTCATGAAGATCTGAACAAACTGATTACCGAAGCCCAAAAACTTATGGTGAACCCAGAAGCCAACCCAGACAACCTGAACGAAACCACGGCCTTGTTGTTGGGCAAGATCGAAGAAGCTGAACAAGTCGCTAACGAGGTCGGAGACAGCGCCCCAGAACCAGACCATGTCGATAAACTCAAACAGATTATCGACGTGGCTAAAGAAACCAAAAAGAGCGTAGACGATAAGTGGAACCAGTGGCTCAAGTTCAAAAAGCTACGTGATGAAATCTTTGACAGTCTCGACAAACCTCGTCAGACTGTCACTGATGTTTCAAACCGCAACTTGAGATCGCCAAAGTCAGCCGAGAAAGATATCAAACCTTTGGAGGTAAGTAAAGTGATACAAACACTCTAAAATTTATAAAATCACACATTAAACGTATAATTTTTAAATTTTAAAACAATTAAAATCCAACCCAATAACAAAAAATATTTTAGAAAGCACAAAAAGCCTTGGCTCCGCTCCGAAAACAAGCCGACAAACTGGACCAGCTTGGACAACAACTTCAACCCCTGGCTGTGGCTGAAAGTGAAGTCCGATTTGTTAACGCTGACTTGCAAGAGTTAGAAGACGACATTCGAGACCTGCTTAACGCCGTTCGTGATGAATCTAGTCATGAGAACAATTTGTTAGAACGCTCTAAGGAATTGATCAATGAGCTAGAGAGAATCAACGAAGACCTGCCAAAGCTTGACAAAAACGGTCTCACCAACGTGAAAGAACAGGCGGTGCCAGCGTTGAAGAAACAGCTTGAAGACCTTGTACAACAACATCAAAACGCTAGAAACACCAGACGTGCGGTTGAACGAGCAAACCTTCCAGATGACTCATCTCCTGAACAACTGACTGCTCGCGTTGACGACCTGAACGCCCAGGCCGACAAGTTCTTGGATAAACTGGCTCGGGACGAAGAACAACAGCGTGTCCAGACCGAATGGCTTCAGAAGAAGAACGAAATCGACCAAGTTGTGTTAGCTACTAACAATGAAGTGAACAACTTGCTTGGCCGTTACGCTACAGAAAATCTGGAGCCCCAATCTTTGCAAGCCGCCGAGAACGACGCTGAAGGCGTTTCCAACTTCAAGGATCGTCTTAGCGGACTTCGTGATCGCCTACAACAAGCCTACGATTGGTTGACTCGAGCTGAAGATCTTCCAGCCGAAGTTAGAGAACAAGAGCTTCAGAAGATCGCCGATGAACAAAAACGAATCGACGATGAAGAAAAGCGTGTTGATGATTTGCAACAAAAACTGAATGCCGAACTTAAACGTCAAAAGGAGCTGGCTGACAAACACAACCAACTTCTGCAACGTTTGAACGAGCTCAGTGACGCTGCACTCAAAATTCATCAAGATTCTAATGTCGAAGACAAGAAACAACACCTCGAACAAATTGACCAAAGCATCGCGCCTTTGGTCGAAGAAATCGAGGTTGTTCAACATCAATACCAAGAACCTGCAGAATCACAACTCATCAGACCTTCTGACAGTGTCAACGTTCAACAACTCAAAGACCGTGTTGATGAACTGAAGAAGACCTTGGACGCTGAGCAAAAAGACGCTGCCAAGAAGCTCCAGGTCATCAAGGTTGGCCAAGAAATCGAACACTTGCGTGCAAAGTTGTCCGACGATTTGAGGAATGCAGAAGATACCCTAGCAGACCCCAACGCCAGCGTTGACAAGCTAAAGAAGGCCGTTGAACTTTTGGAAACAACGAAACCACGATTCAGTGAGTTATCCAAAATCTACGAAGACTTGGAACCAGAGGACGATGAGAGCTCGGAACTTCGCAACAAAACCGCTAACCAATTAGCCAAATTGAACGAACTTTTCGATGCCAACCGTCAATCAGTCAACGACAGAATCGACGCTGCTTTAGCCAAGCCTCATGAAGATCTGAACAAACTGATTACCGAAGCCCAAAAACTTATGGTGAACCCAGAAGCCAACCCAGACAACCTGAACGAAACCACGGCCTTGTTGTTGGGCAAGATCGAAGAAGCTGAACAAGTCGCTAACGAGGTCGGAGACAGCGCCCCAGAACCAGACCATGTCGATAAACTCAAACAGATTATCGACGTGGCTAAAGAAACCAAAAAGAGCGTAGACGATAAGTGGAACCAGTGGCTCAAGTTCAAAAAGCTACGTGATGAAATCTTTGACAGTCTCGACAAACCTCGTCAGACTGTCACTGATGTTTCAAACCGCAACTTGAGATCGCCAAAGTCAGCCGAGAAAGATATCAAACCTTTGGAGGTAAGTAAAGTGATACAAACACTCTAAAATTTATAAAATCACACATTAAACGTATAATTTTTAAATTTTAAAACAATTAAAATCCAACCCAATAACAAAAAATATTTTAGAAAGCACAAAAAGCCTTGGCTCCGCTCCGAAAACAAGCCGACAAACTGGACCAGCTTGGACAACAACTTCAACCCCTGGCTGTGGCTGAAAGTGAAGTCCGATTTGTTAACGCTGACTTGCAAGAGTTAGAAGACGACATTCGAGACCTGCTTAACGCCGTTCGTGATGAATCTAGTCATGAGAACAATTTGTTAGAACGCTCTAAGGAATTGATCAATGAGCTAGAGAGAATCAACGAAGACCTGCCAAAGCTTGACAAAAACGGTCTCACCAACGTGAAAGAACAGGCGGTGCCAGCGTTGAAGAAACAGCTTGAAGACCTTGTACAACAACATCAAAACGCTAGAAACACCAGACGTGCGGTTGAACGAGCAAACCTTCCAGATGACTCATCTCCTGAACAACTGACTGCTCGCGTTGACGACCTGAACGCCCAGGCCGACAAGTTCTTGGATAAACTGGCTCGGGACGAAGAACAACAGCGTGTCCAGACCGAATGGCTTCAGAAGAAGAACGAAATCGACCAAGTTGTGTTAGCTACTAACAATGAAGTGAACAACTTGCTTGGCCGTTACGCTACAGAAAATCTGGAGCCCCAATCTTTGCAAGCCGCCGAGAACGACGCTGAAGGCGTTTCCAACTTCAAGGATCGTCTTAGCGGACTTCGTGATCGCCTACAACAAGCCTACGATTGGTTGACTCGAGCTGAAGATCTTCCAGCCGAAGTTAGAGAACAAGAGCTTCAGAAGATCGCCGATGAACAAAAACGAATCGACGATGAAGAAAAGCGTGTTGATGATTTGCAACAAAAACTGAATGCCGAACTTAAACGTCAAAAGGAGCTGGCTGACAAACACAACCAACTTCTGCAACGTTTGAACGAGCTCAGTGACGCTGCACTCAAAATTCATCAAGATTCTAATGTCGAAGACAAGAAACAACACCTCGAACAAATTGACCAAAGCATCGCGCCTTTGGTCGAAGAAATCGAGGTTGTTCAACATCAATACCAAGAACCTGCAGAATCACAACTCATCAGACCTTCTGACAGTGTCAACGTTCAACAACTCAAAGACCGTGTTGATGAACTGAAGAAGACCTTGGACGCTGAGCAAAAAGACGCTGCCAAGAAGCTCCAGGTCATCAAGGTTGGCCAAGAAATCGAACACTTGCGTGCAAAGTTGTCCGACGATTTGAGGAATGCAGAAGATACCCTAGCAGACCCCAACGCCAGCGTTGACAAGCTAAAGAAGGCCGTTGAACTTTTGGAAACAACGAAACCACGATTCAGTGAGTTATCCAAAATCTACGAAGACTTGGAACCAGAGGACGATGAGAGCTCGGAACTTCGCAACAAAACCGCTAACCAATTAGCCAAATTGAACGAACTTTTCGATGCCAACCGTCAATCAGTCAACGACAGAATCGACGCTGCTTTAGCCAAGCCTCATGAAGATCTGAACAAACTGATTACCGAAGCCCAAAAACTTATGGTGAACCCAGAAGCCAACCCAGACAACCTGAACGAAACCACGGCCTTGTTGTTGGGCAAGATCGAAGAAGCTGAACAAGTCGCTAACGAGGTCGGAGACAGCGCCCCAGAACCAGACCATGTCGATAAACTCAAACAGATTATCGACGTGGCTAAAGAAACCAAAAAGAGCGTAGACGATAAGTGGAACCAGTGGCTCAAGTTCAAAAAGCTACGTGATGAAATCTTTGACAGTCTCGACAAACCTCGTCAGACTGTCACTGATGTTTCAAACCGCAACTTGAGATCGCCAAAGTCAGCCGAGAAAGATATCAAACCTTTGGAGGTAAGTAAAGTGATACAAACACTCTAAAATTTATAAAATCACACATTAAACGTATAATTTTTAAATTTTAAAACAATTAAAATCCAACCCAATAACAAAAAATATTTTAGAAAGCACAAAAAGCCTTGGCTCCGCTCCGAAAACAAGCCGACAAACTGGACCAGCTTGGACAACAACTTCAACCCCTGGCTGTGGCTGAAAGTGAAGTCCGATTTGTTAACGCTGACTTGCAAGAGTTAGAAGACGACATTCGAGACCTGCTTAACGCCGTTCGTGATGAATCTAGTCATGAGAACAATTTGTTAGAACGCTCTAAGGAATTGATCAATGAGCTAGAGAGAATCAACGAAGACCTGCCAAAGCTTGACAAAAACGGTCTCACCAACGTGAAAGAACAGGCGGTGCCAGCGTTGAAGAAACAGCTTGAAGACCTTGTACAACAACATCAAAACGCTAGAAACACCAGACGTGCGGTTGAACGAGCAAACCTTCCAGATGACTCATCTCCTGAACAACTGACTGCTCGCGTTGACGACCTGAACGCCCAGGCCGACAAGTTCTTGGATAAACTGGCTCGGGACGAAGAACAACAGCGTGTCCAGACCGAATGGCTTCAGAAGAAGAACGAAATCGACCAAGTTGTGTTAGCTACTAACAATGAAGTGAACAACTTGCTTGGCCGTTACGCTACAGAAAATCTGGAGCCCCAATCTTTGCAAGCCGCCGAGAACGACGCTGAAGGCGTTTCCAACTTCAAGGATCGTCTTAGCGGACTTCGTGATCGCCTACAACAAGCCTACGATTGGTTGACTCGAGCTGAAGATCTTCCAGCCGAAGTTAGAGAACAAGAGCTTCAGAAGATCGCCGATGAACAAAAACGAATCGACGATGAAGAAAAGCGTGTTGATGATTTGCAACAAAAACTGAATGCCGAACTTAAACGTCAAAAGGAGCTGGCTGACAAACACAACCAACTTCTGCAACGTTTGAACGAGCTCAGTGACGCTGCACTCAAAATTCATCAAGATTCTAATGTCGAAGACAAGAAACAACACCTCGAACAAATTGACCAAAGCATCGCGCCTTTGGTCGAAGAAATCGAGGTTGTTCAACATCAATACCAAGAACCTGCAGAATCACAACTCATCAGACCTTCTGACAGTGTCAACGTTCAACAACTCAAAGACCGTGTTGATGAACTGAAGAAGACCTTGGACGCTGAGCAAAAAGACGCTGCCAAGAAGCTCCAGGTCATCAAGGTTGGCCAAGAAATCGAACACTTGCGTGCAAAGTTGTCCGACGATTTGAGGAATGCAGAAGATACCCTAGCAGACCCCAACGCCAGCGTTGACAAGCTAAAGAAGGCCGTTGAACTTTTGGAAACAACGAAACCACGATTCAGTGAGTTATCCAAAATCTACGAAGACTTGGAACCAGAGGACGATGAGAGCTCGGAACTTCGCAACAAAACCGCTAACCAATTAGCCAAATTGAACGAACTTTTCGATGCCAACCGTCAATCAGTCAACGACAGAATCGACGCTGCTTTAGCCAAGCCTCATGAAGATCTGAACAAACTGATTACCGAAGCCCAAAAACTTATGGTGAACCCAGAAGCCAACCCAGACAACCTGAACGAAACCACGGCCTTGTTGTTGGGCAAGATCGAAGAAGCTGAACAAGTCGCTAACGAGGTCGGAGACAGCGCCCCAGAACCAGACCATGTCGATAAACTCAAACAGATTATCGACGTGGCTAAAGAAACCAAAAAGAGCGTAGACGATAAGTGGAACCAGTGGCTCAAGTTCAAAAAGCTACGTGATGAAATCTTTGACAGTCTCGACAAACCTCGTCAGACTGTCACTGATGTTTCAAACCGCAACTTGAGATCGCCAAAGTCAGCCGAGAAAGATATCAAACCTTTGGAGGTAAGTAAAGTGATACAAACACTCTAAAATTTATAAAATCACACATTAAACGTATAATTTTTAAATTTTAAAACAATTAAAATCCAACCCAATAACAAAAAATATTTTAGAAAGCACAAAAAGCCTTGGCTCCGCTCCGAAAACAAGCCGACAAACTGGACCAGCTTGGACAACAACTTCAACCCCTGGCTGTGGCTGAAAGTGAAGTCCGATTTGTTAACGCTGACTTGCAAGAGTTAGAAGACGACATTCGAGACCTGCTTAACGCCGTTCGTGATGAATCTAGTCATGAGAACAATTTGTTAGAACGCTCTAAGGAATTGATCAATGAGCTAGAGAGAATCAACGAAGACCTGCCAAAGCTTGACAAAAACGGTCTCACCAACGTGAAAGAACAGGCGGTGCCAGCGTTGAAGAAACAGCTTGAAGACCTTGTACAACAACATCAAAACGCTAGAAACACCAGACGTGCGGTTGAACGAGCAAACCTTCCAGATGACTCATCTCCTGAACAACTGACTGCTCGCGTTGACGACCTGAACGCCCAGGCCGACAAGTTCTTGGATAAACTGGCTCGGGACGAAGAACAACAGCGTGTCCAGACCGAATGGCTTCAGAAGAAGAACGAAATCGACCAAGTTGTGTTAGCTACTAACAATGAAGTGAACAACTTGCTTGGCCGTTACGCTACAGAAAATCTGGAGCCCCAATCTTTGCAAGCCGCCGAGAACGACGCTGAAGGCGTTTCCAACTTCAAGGATCGTCTTAGCGGACTTCGTGATCGCCTACAACAAGCCTACGATTGGTTGACTCGAGCTGAAGATCTTCCAGCCGAAGTTAGAGAACAAGAGCTTCAGAAGATCGCCGATGAACAAAAACGAATCGACGATGAAGAAAAGCGTGTTGATGATTTGCAACAAAAACTGAATGCCGAACTTAAACGTCAAAAGGAGCTGGCTGACAAACACAACCAACTTCTGCAACGTTTGAACGAGCTCAGTGACGCTGCACTCAAAATTCATCAAGATTCTAATGTCGAAGACAAGAAACAACACCTCGAACAAATTGACCAAAGCATCGCGCCTTTGGTCGAAGAAATCGAGGTTGTTCAACATCAATACCAAGAACCTGCAGAATCACAACTCATCAGACCTTCTGACAGTGTCAACGTTCAACAACTCAAAGACCGTGTTGATGAACTGAAGAAGACCTTGGACGCTGAGCAAAAAGACGCTGCCAAGAAGCTCCAGGTCATCAAGGTTGGCCAAGAAATCGAACACTTGCGTGCAAAGTTGTCCGACGATTTGAGGAATGCAGAAGATACCCTAGCAGACCCCAACGCCAGCGTTGACAAGCTAAAGAAGGCCGTTGAACTTTTGGAAACAACGAAACCACGATTCAGTGAGTTATCCAAAATCTACGAAGACTTGGAACCAGAGGACGATGAGAGCTCGGAACTTCGCAACAAAACCGCTAACCAATTAGCCAAATTGAACGAACTTTTCGATGCCAACCGTCAATCAGTCAACGACAGAATCGACGCTGCTTTAGCCAAGCCTCATGAAGATCTGAACAAACTGATTACCGAAGCCCAAAAACTTATGGTGAACCCAGAAGCCAACCCAGACAACCTGAACGAAACCACGGCCTTGTTGTTGGGCAAGATCGAAGAAGCTGAACAAGTCGCTAACGAGGTCGGAGACAGCGCCCCAGAACCAGACCATGTCGATAAACTCAAACAGATTATCGACGTGGCTAAAGAAACCAAAAAGAGCGTAGACGATAAGTGGAACCAGTGGCTCAAGTTCAAAAAGCTACGTGATGAAATCTTTGACAGTCTCGACAAACCTCGTCAGACTGTCACTGATGTTTCAAACCGCAACTTGAGATCGCCAAAGTCAGCCGAGAAAGATATCAAACCTTTGGAGGTAAGTAAAGTGATACAAACACTCTAAAATTTATAAAATCACACATTAAACGTATAATTTTTAAATTTTAAAACAATTAAAATCCAACCCAATAACAAAAAATATTTTAGAAAGCACAAAAAGCCTTGGCTCCGCTCCGAAAACAAGCCGACAAACTGGACCAGCTTGGACAACAACTTCAACCCCTGGCTGTGGCTGAAAGTGAAGTCCGATTTGTTAACGCTGACTTGCAAGAGTTAGAAGACGACATTCGAGACCTGCTTAACGCCGTTCGTGATGAATCTAGTCATGAGAACAATTTGTTAGAACGCTCTAAGGAATTGATCAATGAGCTAGAGAGAATCAACGAAGACCTGCCAAAGCTTGACAAAAACGGTCTCACCAACGTGAAAGAACAGGCGGTGCCAGCGTTGAAGAAACAGCTTGAAGACCTTGTACAACAACATCAAAACGCTAGAAACACCAGACGTGCAGTTGAACGAGCAAACCTTCCAGATGACTCATCTCCTGAACAACTGACTGCTCGCGTTGACGACCTGAACGCCCAGGCCGACAAGTTCTTGGATAAACTGGCTCGGGACGAAGAACAACAGCGTGTCCAGACCGAATGGCTTCAGAAGAAGAACGAAATCGACCAAGTTGTGTTAGCTACTAACAATGAAGTGAACAACTTGCTTGGCCGTTACGCTACAGAAAATCTGGAGCCCCAATCTTTGCAAGCCGCCGAGAACGACGCTGAAGGCGTTTCCAACTTCAAGGATCGTCTTAGCGGACTTCGTGATCGCCTACAACAAGCCTACGATTGGTTGACTCGAGCTGAAGATCTTCCAGCCGAAGTTAGAGAACAAGAGCTTCAGAAGATCGCCGATGAACAAAAACGAATCGACGATGAAGAAAAGCGTGTTGATGATTTGCAACAAAAACTGAATGCCGAACTTAAACGTCAAAAGGAGCTGGCTGACAAACACAACCAACTTCTGCAACGTTTGAACGAGCTCAGTGACGCTGCACTCAAAATTCATCAAGATTCTAATGTCGAAGACAAGAAACAACACCTCGAACAAATTGACCAAAGCATCGCGCCTTTGGTCGAAGAAATCGAGGTTGTTCAACATCAATACCAAGAACCTGCAGAATCACAACTCATCAGACCTTCTGACAGTGTCAACGTTCAACAACTCAAAGACCGTGTTGATGAACTGAAGAAGACCTTGGACGCTGAGCAAAAAGACGCTGCCAAGAAGCTCCAGGTCATCAAGGTTGGCCAAGAAATCGAACACTTGCGTGCAAAGTTGTCCGACGATTTGAGGAATGCAGAAGATACCCTAGCAGACCCCAACGCCAGCGTTGACAAGCTAAAGAAGGCCGTTGAACTTTTGGAAACAACGAAACCACGATTCAGTGAGTTATCCAAAATCTACGAAGACTTGGAACCAGAGGACGATGAGAGCTCGGAACTTCGCAACAAAACCGCTAACCAATTAGCCAAATTGAACGAACTTTTCGATGCCAACCGTCAATCAGTCAACGACAGAATCGACGCTGCTTTAGCCAAGCCTCATGAAGATCTGAACAAACTGATTACCGAAGCCCAAAAACTTATGGTGAACCCAGAAGCCAACCCAGACAACCTGAACGAAACCACGGCCTTGTTGTTGGGCAAGATCGAAGAAGCTGAACAAGTCGCTAACGAGGTCGGAGACAGCGCCCCAGAACCAGACCATGTCGATAAACTCAAACAGATTATCGACGTGGCTAAAGAAACCAAAAAGAGCGTAGACGATAAGTGGAACCAGTGGCTCAAGTTCAAAAAGCTACGTGATGAAATCTTTGACAGTCTCGACAAACCTCGTCAGACTGTCACTGATGTTTCAAACCGCAACTTGAGATCGCCAAAGTCAGCCGAGAAAGATATCAAACCTTTGGAGGTAAGTAAAGTGATACAAACACTCTAAAATTTATAAAATCACACATTAAACGTATAATTTTTAAATTTTAAAACAATTAAAATCCAAACCCAATAACAAAAAATATTTTAGAAAGCACAAAAAGCCTTGGCTCCGCTCCGAAAACAAGCCGACAAACTGGACCAGCTTGGACAACAACTTCAACCCCTGGCTGTGGCTGAAAGTGAAGTCCGATTTGTTAACGCTGACTTGCAAGAGTTAGAAGACGACATTCGAGACCTGCTTAACGCCGTTCGTGATGAATCTAGTCATGAGAACAATTTGTTAGAACGCTCTAAGGAATTGATCAATGAGCTAGAGAGAATCAACGAAGACCTGCCAAAGCTTGACAAAAACGGTCTCACCAACGTGAAAGAACAGGCGGTGCCAGCGTTGAAGAAACAGCTTGAAGACCTTGTACAACAACATCAAAACGCTAGAAACACCAGACGTGCAGTTGAACGAGCAAACCTTCCAGATGACTCATCTCCTGAACAACTGACTGCTCGCGTTGACGACCTGAACGCCCAGGCCGACAAGTTCTTGGATAAACTGGCTCGGGACGAAGAACAACAGCGTGTCCAGACCGAATGGCTTCAGAAGAAGAACGAAATCGACCAAGTTGTGTTAGCTACTAACAATGAAGTGAACAACTTGCTTGGCCGTTACGCTACAGAAAATCTGGAGCCCCAATCTTTGCAAGCCGCCGAGAACGACGCTGAAGGCGTTTCCAACTTCAAGGATCGTCTTAGCGGACTTCGTGATCGCCTACAACAAGCCTACGATTGGTTGACTCGAGCTGAAGATCTTCCAGCCGAAGTTAGAGAACAAGAGCTTCAGAAGATCGCCGATGAACAAAAACGAATCGACGATGAAGAAAAGCGTGTTGATGATTTGCAACAAAAACTGAATGCCGAACTTAAACGTCAAAAGGAGCTGGCTGACAAACACAACCAACTTCTGCAACGTTTGAACGAGCTCAGTGACGCTGCACTCAAAATTCATCAAGATTCTAATGTCGAAGACAAGAAACAACACCTCGAACAAATTGACCAAAGCATCGCGCCTTTGGTCGAAGAAATCGAGGTTGTTCAACATCAATACCAAGAACCTGCAGAATCACAACTCATCAGACCTTCTGACAGTGTCAACGTTCAACAACTCAAAGACCGTGTTGATGAACTGAAGAAGACCTTGGACGCTGAGCAAAAAGACGCTGCCAAGAAGCTCCAGGTCATCAAGGTTGGCCAAGAAATCGAACACTTGCGTGCAAAGTTGTCCGACGATTTGAGGAATGCAGAAGATACCCTAGCAGACCCCAACGCCAGCGTTGACAAGCTAAAGAAGGCCGTTGAACTTTTGGAAACAACGAAACCACGATTCAGTGAGTTATCCAAAATCTACGAAGACTTGGAACCAGAGGACGATGAGAGCTCGGAACTTCGCAACAAAACCGCTAACCAATTAGCCAAATTGAACGAACTTTTCGATGCCAACCGTCAATCAGTCAACGACAGAATCGACGCTGCTTTAGCCAAGCCTCATGAAGATCTGAACAAACTGATTACCGAAGCCCAAAAACTTATGGTGAACCCAGAAGCCAACCCAGACAACCTGAACGAAACCACGGCCTTGTTGTTGGGCAAGATCGAAGAAGCTGAACAAGTCGCTAACGAGGTCGGAGACAGCGCCCCAGAACCAGACCATGTCGATAAACTCAAACAGATTATCGACGTGGCTAAAGAAACCAAAAAGAGCGTAGACGATAAGTGGAACCAGTGGCTCAAGTTCAAAAAGCTACGTGATGAAATCTTTGACAGTCTCGACAAACCTCGTCAGACTGTCACTGATGTTTCAAACCGCAACTTGAGATCGCCAAAGTCAGCCGAGAAAGATATCAAACCTTTGGAGGTAAGTAAAGTGATACAAACACTCTAAAATTTATAAAATCACACATTAAACGTATAATTTTTAAATTTTAAAACAATTAAAATCCAACCCAATAACAAAAAATATTTTAGAAAGCACAAAAAGCCTTGGCTCCGCTCCGAAAACAAGCCGACAAACTGGACCAGCTTGGACAACAACTTCAACCCCTGGCTGTGGCTGAAAGTGAAGTCCGATTTGTTAACGCTGACTTGCAAGAGTTAGAAGACGACATTCGAGACCTGCTTAACGCCGTTCGTGATGAATCTAGTCATGAGAACAATTTGTTAGAACGCTCTAAGGAATTGATCAATGAGCTAGAGAGAATCAACGAAGACCTGCCAAAGCTTGACAAAAACGGTCTCACCAACGTGAAAGAACAGGCGGTGCCAGCGTTGAAGAAACAGCTTGAAGACCTTGTACAACAACATCAAAACGCTAGAAACACCAGACGTGCAGTTGAACGAGCAAACCTTCCAGATGACTCATCTCCTGAACAACTGACTGCTCGCGTTGACGACCTGAACGCCCAGGCCGACAAGTTCTTGGATAAACTGGCTCGGGACGAAGAACAACAGCGTGTCCAGACCGAATGGCTTCAGAAGAAGAACGAAATCGACCAAGTTGTGTTAGCTACTAACAATGAAGTGAACAACTTGCTTGGCCGTTACGCTACAGAAAATCTGGAGCCCCAATCTTTGCAAGCCGCCGAGAACGACGCTGAAGGCGTTTCCAACTTCAAGGATCGTCTTAGCGGACTTCGTGATCGCCTACAACAAGCCTACGATTGGTTGACTCGAGCTGAAGATCTTCCAGCCGAAGTTAGAGAACAAGAGCTTCAGAAGATCGCCGATGAACAAAAACGAATCGACGATGAAGAAAAGCGTGTTGATGATTTGCAACAAAAACTGAATGCCGAACTTAAACGTCAAAAGGAGCTGGCTGACAAACACAACCAACTTCTGCAACGTTTGAACGAGCTCAGTGACGCTGCACTCAAAATTCATCAAGATTCTAATGTCGAAGACAAGAAACAACACCTCGAACAAATTGACCAAAGCATCGCGCCTTTGGTCGAAGAAATCGAGGTTGTTCAACATCAATTCCAAGAACCTACAGAATCACAACTCATCAGACCTTCTGACAGTGTCAACGTTCAACAACTCAAAGACCGTGTTGATGAACTGAAGAAGACCTTGGACGCTGAGCAAAAAGACGCTGCCAAGAAGCTCCAGGTCATCAAGGTTGGCCAAGAAATCGAACACTTGCGTGCAAAGTTGTCCGACGATTTGAGGAATGCAGAAGATACCCTAGCAGACCCCAACGCCAGCGTTGACAAGCTAAAGAAGGCCGTTGAACTTTTGGAAACAACGAAACCACGATTCAGTGAGTTATCCAAAATCTACGAAGACTTGGAACCAGAGGACGATGAGAGCTCGGAACTTCGCAACAAAACCGCTAACCAATTAGCCAAATTGAACGAACTTTTCGATGCCAACCGTCAATCAGTCAACGACAGAATCGACGCTGCTTTAGCCAAGCCTCATGAAGATCTGAACAAACTGATTACCGAAGCCCAAAAACTTATGGTGAACCCAGAAGCCAACCCAGACAACCTGAACGAAACCACGGCCTTGTTGTTGGGCAAGATCGAAGAAGCTGAACAAGTCGCTAACGAGGTCGGAGACAGCGCCCCAGAACCAGACCATGTCGATAAACTCAAACAGATTATCGACGTGGCTAAAGAAACCAAAAAGAGCGTAGACGATAAGTGGAACCAGTGGCTCAAGTTCAAAAAGCTACGTGATGAAATCTTTGACAGTCTCGACAAACCTCGTCAGACTGTCACTGATGTTTCAAACCGCAACTTGAGATCGCCAAAGTCAGCCGAGAAAGATATCAAACCTTTGGAGGTAAGTAAAGTGATACAAACACTCTAAAATTTATAAAATCACACATTAAACGTATAATTTTTAAATTTTAAAACAATTAAAATCCAACCCAATAACAAAAAATATTTTAGAAAGCACAAAAAGCCTTGGCTCCGCTCCGAAAACAAGCCGACAAACTGGACCAGCTTGGACAACAACTTCAACCCCTGGCTGTGGCTGAAAGTGAAGTCCGATTTGTTAACGCTGACTTGCAAGAGTTAGAAGACGACATTCGAGACCTGCTTAACGCCGTTCGTGATGAATCTAGTCATGAGAACAATTTGTTAGAACGCTCTAAGGAATTGATCAATGAGCTAGAGAGAATCAACGAAGACCTGCCAAAGCTTGACAAAAACGGTCTCACCAACGTGAAAGAACAGGCGGTGCCAGCGTTGAAGAAACAGCTTGAAGACCTTGTACAACAACATCAAAACGCTAGAAACACCAGACGTGCAGTTGAACGAGCAAACCTTCCAGATGACTCATCTCCTGAACAACTGACTGCTCGCGTTGACGACCTGAACGCCCAGGCCGACAAGTTCTTGGATAAACTGGCTCGGGACGAAGAACAACAGCGTGTCCAGACCGAATGGCTTCAGAAGAAGAACGAAATCGACCAAGTTGTGTTAGCTACTAACAATGAAGTGAACAACTTGCTTGGCCGTTACGCTACAGAAAATCTGGAGCCCCAATCTTTGCAAGCCGCCGAGAACGACGCTGAAGGCGTTTCCAACTTCAAGGATCGTCTTAGCGGACTTCGTGATCGCCTACAACAAGCCTACGATTGGTTGACTCGAGCTGAAGATCTTCCAGCCGAAGTTAGAGAACAAGAGCTTCAGAAGATCGCCGATGAACAAAAACGAATCGACGATGAAGAAAAGCGTGTTGATGATTTGCAACAAAAACTGAATGCCGAACTTAAACGTCAAAAGGAGCTGGCTGACAAACACAACCAACTTCTGCAACGTTTGAACGAGCTCAGTGACGCTGCACTCAAAATTCATCAAGATTCTAATGTCGAAGACAAGAAACAACACCTCGAACAAATTGACCAAAGCATCGCGCCTTTGGTCGAAGAAATCGAGGTTGTTCAACATCAATACCAAGAACCTGCAGAATCACAACTCATCAGACCTTCTGACAGTGTCAACGTTCAACAACTCAAAGACCGTGTTGATGAACTGAAGAAGACCTTGGACGCTGAGCAAAAAGACGCTGCCAAGAAGCTCCAGGTCATCAAGGTTGGCCAAGAAATCGAACACTTGCGTGCAAAGTTGTCCGACGATTTGAGGAATGCAGAAGATACCCTAGCAGACCCCAACGCCAGCGTTGACAAGCTAAAGAAGGCCGTTGAACTTTTGGAAACAACGAAACCACGATTCAGTGAGTTATCCAAAATCTACGAAGACTTGGAACCAGAGGACGATGAGAGCTCGGAACTTCGCAACAAAACCGCTAACCAATTAGCCAAATTGAACGAACTTTTCGATGCCAACCGTCAATCAGTCAACGACAGAATCGACGCTGCTTTAGCCAAGCCTCATGAAGATCTGAACAAACTGATTACCGAAGCCCAAAAACTTATGGTGAACCCAGAAGCCAACCCAGACAACCTGAACGAAACCACGGCCTTGTTGTTGGGCAAGATCGAAGAAGCTGAACAAGTCGCTAACGAGGTCGGAGACAGCGCCCCAGAACCAGACCATGTCGATAAACTCAAACAGATTATCGACGTGGCTAAAGAAACCAAAAAGAGCGTAGACGATAAGTGGAACCAGTGGCTCAAGTTCAAAAAGCTACGTGATGAAATCTTTGACAGTCTCGACAAACCTCGTCAGACTGTCACTGATGTTTCAAACCGCAACTTGAGATCGCCAAAGTCAGCCGAGAAAGATATCAAACCTTTGGAGGTAAGTAAAGTGATACAAACACTCTAAAATTTATAAAATCACACATTAAACGTATAATTTTTAAATTTTAAAACAATTAAAATCCAAACCCAATAACAAAAAATATTTTAGAAAGCACAAAAAGCCTTGGCTCCGCTCCGAAAACAAGCCGACAAACTGGACCAGCTTGGACAACAACTTCAACCCCTGGCTGTGGCTGAAAGTGAAGTCCGATTTGTTAACGCTGACTTGCAAGAGTTAGAAGACGACATTCGAGACCTGCTTAACGCCGTTCGTGATGAATCTAGTCATGAGAACAATTTGTTAGAACGCTCTAAGGAATTGATCAATGAGCTAGAGAGAATCAACGAAGACCTGCCAAAGCTTGACAAAAACGGTCTCACCAACGTGAAAGAACAGGCGGTGCCAGCGTTGAAGAAACAGCTTGAAGACCTTGTACAACAACATCAAAACGCTAGAAACACCAGACGTGCAGTTGAACGAGCAAACCTTCCAGATGACTCATCTCCTGAACAACTGACTGCTCGCGTTGACGACCTGAACGCCCAGGCCGACAAGTTCTTGGATAAACTGGCTCGGGACGAAGAACAACAGCGTGTCCAGACCGAATGGCTTCAGAAGAAGAACGAAATCGACCAAGTTGTGTTAGCTACTAACAATGAAGTGAACAACTTGCTTGGCCGTTACGCTACAGAAAATCTGGAGCCCCAATCTTTGCAAGCCGCCGAGAACGACGCTGAAGGCGTTTCCAACTTCAAGGATCGTCTTAGCGGACTTCGTGATCGCCTACAACAAGCCTACGATTGGTTGACTCGAGCTGAAGATCTTCCAGCCGAAGTTAGAGAACAAGAGCTTCAGAAGATCGCCGATGAACAAAAACGAATCGACGATGAAGAAAAGCGTGTTGATGATTTGCAACAAAAACTGAATGCCGAACTTAAACGTCAAAAGGAGCTGGCTGACAAACACAACCAACTTCTGCAACGTTTGAACGAGCTCAGTGACGCTGCACTCAAAATTCATCAAGATTCTAATGTCGAAGACAAGAAACAACACCTCGAACAAATTGACCAAAGCATCGCGCCTTTGGTCGAAGAAATCGAGGTTGTTCAACATCAATTCCAAGAACCTACAGAATCACAACTCATCAGACCTTCTGACAGTGTTAACGTTCAACAACTTAAAGACCATATTGACGAACTGAAGAAGAACCTAAAAGAACAAAATCAACAGATTGAGAATGAAAAACAGAAACAATCCGATAGTCTAAATAAAGAAGTCAACAACTTAAAGAAAACAATAGAAAAACTGTTAAGAGAAGTCGCAGCAACATTGTCTAACGATGAGCTTAGCCTTGCTCAAATACAAAAAAGCTATGAAGCGTTAGCCAACTCTAAAGACTGTATTAGAACTCTGAAGAAGCTTGACAATGATAAAAACAACGACGTCTGTAAACGAATTAAAAATCTTACGTTAGCTTTCTCAGAAGAAGTTGACGGTAAGCAAGCAGAATTAAAGCATCGTGAAGGCAGTCAACGTGCAGAACTTATTAGTAATATTACTAATCTTAGCAATGAAGGCCAAGGTATGTTGGTATCTTCTACTGCACACCCTGACAGCTTCAATGAACATGCAGACAAAATACGTTCTCAAATCAAGCATGTACATGGGTTTATTGCTGCTTATAATGAAAATGATGAAGGAGTTATAAAATTGGTTTCATTAATTAAAACGGCTGGAGAAGTACGTGACTTGTTGGATGCCAGGTGGATAATATGGGTGGAGTTTTTGAAACTTAAATCCGAAATTTGCGCCATGTTTGATGATAAACGCAAGCCATTAGAAGAAAGAAAAGCAAAAGGCCTCAGTGATATTACACTAATCGATAATGAAGTTTCTGCCCTCAAAGTAAGTTATTACAACATACTTAGTTATTGTGGTTGTCGACTTAAACCTTTACTTCTCTTTTAAGTTACTAATTTCTATTTATTTTAGATGGCTAAAGACAATTTGAACGAAGTTTACTTGAAAATCGACGAACTCAACAATATTGCTTTACAATTCGAACATCAAGACCTGCCCCACTCTGAAGTTCGATTCTTAGAAGCTGAGTATGAGGAAATCGACTGTGACTACGACAACCTAATTCAAGCTATTCTGCACGAAAAGAACGAAGAAGACCGTTTGTTAGACCAAATGACCGACATTATTGACGACCTCCATGAGATCGAAGAAAAAGTCGAGAATTTGCGTTATGCTGAACTAGTAGAATTAACGACAAGTGTTTTACCAGCATTGCAAGAACAAATCGACAGCGTTCACTTCAACCATCAACGTGCACTCAATAGCAGATCGTATGTAAAATCAGACATACCGATCACCGGAGATGCTACCGAACAAATCAACGAAATCAACCAACGTGCCAAAGAACGACTCGATCAACTAAAACGTGATGGAAAAGACAAAGACCAGCCAAAGTTAGACGTTGACGCCGCTTCAGAACTACTCGCAATGGCATTCCCGGACCGACGACCCAGAGATGTTTTGCGAGATTACGGTTTACAACACCTAGATGTTAGTTCAGACGAAAATGAGCATGATCCAAGTGACCGTGCTGGCCCTTCGAGTCCACACTTGAAAGACAAACTGACAGCAGAAGCGTTGGACGATGTAGACCTAGCTTTGGCCCCATCACCAGCTTTGTCACCTGAACCAGAAGTTCAAGCACAAGAAGGAGAACAACGACCCGTTGCTGCACCTGACCGCCAGAGAAATAGATGGCGTCGTGTTCTTTTCGCAGCACTACCTTACCAAGTAAGTATCACTATTTAATTCAATGAAAACATTTGTTTGAATTCAGTATGGTAAAGTTTGCCCCTTTTCGCCATATTATTAATATATAGAAAAAAGTTACAAACTTTAGTATAACTGTTGTTGTTTGCGACTATTTTTAAAACGTTAAAAAAGTAGTCCTTTACGGTAGTAAATGGTTTAAGCAGAGAGCTCGTGCCGATACCATGTATAAAACACGTTATCAGTACGAGCACTCTGACCAAACCAGATCATACCATGAAGTACAACTTTATCAACGTTCTGCCGTTTAGTGTGTGCTTTTATTAACGTTTAAATTAGATATTATCAAATCATTTTAACTTATTACTATTAATTTAATTTTTTAAACTAATCTTTCAAATTTACAGGTAATGCTCGGACTGCTCCTAGCTGCAGCCTGCATGATACCGGACCTAACCAAAGAAGAATCCTGTGAGAATCTTCACAAACTTTTCGAATTGCATCAGCAATTCATTAACGGCCCACCGCCGTTCTAAACCCTTGTTATTATACTTTAATGTATACATTGTCTTTTTATTGTCTTTGATTTACTTATAACTTTACTGCAACTTTAAAAGTATGGTTAAAAAAATCCTTTTAAAAACATTACTTTGGCACTGCAATTTGTTAGTACAGAATACTACAGTACCTCCTACGCTAAAGCTTTACACTACTATACAAAAAACGTTAAACAACATATCTACAGTAATATGCTATTTTTGATCTACATGACATTTTATTGCCAGTATATTATGGTTTACCTTATTGACCTTTACACGTTTCTACAGTAACCCTGAATCCATGAACAACAACCGACGACTGTTATTTACAGATTACAACGCGTTACTCCAAAGCTTTAAGCCTATTTACAACTCAACAAGCTACTGTATCAACACTATTTACTACTATCAACTACTGTACCAATGTTTTCTACCCTCATTCATTGTTAAGCCAAAAGATTTTGCAGAAAGTTAAAGTAAACCAACCAAGTCTCTTTCAATCCCACTTCCCGGTCATTTTGAATATTTTAGGCATTCATTTAGTACCAAAAGTTTATAGATTTCCAAGTTTTAACCGGTTTTTATTCAATTTTCAATATTTTCAGTGTCTTCAACTGTATGATACTCTATTTTTTGCCATAATATTAATGTAATATTTTTGTTTCGAATATTTTTGTTACTAATAAACTTTAAAAAATTAAAATTTGGCTTTTTAAGTTTAAAAAAAATTAAAGTTTTAGTCATCAAAATATCATTAAGAACAAATTTTCTGAAACTTTTGATGCCTGACCTTCAAGCGCTTTTAGAAGCGTGTAATCCAAAAATATAATCCCGAAAAATATTCGTAATATTTTGATTGATCAGCTTTTGTCAACCATAACATTATCATATCAGACACCATATCAAACTACACTTTTTAGTAACCAAATCTTTCGTTGAGGGACCTACACTGGACCCTCAGTCCGCTTTTTGAATTGACCTAAACAAAAAACCAAAAATTTTAAAAATAAAAAAATAATTTTTATCTTTTCTTTATTCAAATTTCGCAAAAACGATTCGTTTCTCGTCCAAATGACATTCGTCAATGTTGAAAAAGGCCATTTCAACATGATCCAACGCCATTTGCTCGTGAATATTGGCAGTGTTGTGGGGCTTGGCCACAATCATTCGATCGCCATGCTCGATACACACCAAGCCGGAGGAATAGATAAGGTCGGATTGGGGAAGGTTTAAATGGTGGCGGGATTCGGCTATAAAATTTTGGAGTAATTTTAAATTATTGGTTAAAATACGATTTTTAAAAAGTTTTTACACTTGTTTTTCTAGCTAAAAACTCCATTTTCTAACAATAAAAGTGGGCTTTATGCTCAAAAGTTTAATTTAGGTAATAAAATAGTGTTTCTTACCTAAAAAGGGCATTTTAAATAATTAAAAGGCTCTTTAAACAACAAATTGCCATTTTTTGTACATAATCATTCCTTTCTAATTAAATATCCTTTTAAATTAACAAAATCACCTCAAAAACCAATATTTCCTAAGCTATAATAAAAAAAACTAAAACCGACCGTTTTCGATCTTATCCTTCTCTTCAGCCTCTTCTTCTTCCTCGAAAACCTCTTCCCAGCACTTGAATACATCGTCAACGTTGATATACTCCGCGTTGAAGCCATCTTCACCTTCACACAAGTTAAAACCATCTTCTCCTTCACAAAAGTTAATGATATCTTCATTTAAACTCATATTGAAGTCATCTTCACTTTGATTCAACTTCAAACCATCTCCAAATAAATTTAATCCATTTTCACACAATTTCAACTCATGTTCATCTACCACAACATCAACAAACACTGGTCGTTTTTCCACTCTTTTTGGAGTTTCTATCTTCAGCTTTTGAACTTTGTCCAATCTTGACTCCAAGTCCAAAGCAAATCGATTGGAATTGTCCAATTTCGGCCGTTTTAAAGTAGTTCCGAATATTGGCACAGATGAAGGCTTATTCCAGTTTGATCCTGAAGGAGTTTGATCTAATTCGAAGCTGAATGAGCACTCTCCCTTTGCTGGTGAATCCACAACTTTGAGGCGAGGCGGGGTTGGAGGACATTCCACTTTGATCGGAGGACTTCTTTGTTGAATTTCTGAGTCGAATACCTGAAATTCATATCGTTAAAATACGCAAAATAATCCCTATCTTTATATAAAAATTTTTCTGAAAATTTAAGCCCGAAAACAAATTTAATTTATCAAAAAACCAATATTATAGTAAACATCGGCCTTCAACAAATAAAAAATATTATAACAAAAAATATATTGTTCCAAATAAACTTAATTTACCACAAACGTTGAAAGTAGTATCCTTATAATTCTCAAAAAATATCAATTTCCAACATTAACCAGAATTTATAAAAACTCGATATTATACTAGACATCAACACTCATCTATTAAAAATTATGTAACTTGGCGGCGCATGTATATAACAAGCTGATTTTCAAAAAAAACTCTTGCCAAAAGCATTGCCAACATCATTGCAAATTTTAGGACTAAAATATTTACTAAAACATCTGAATATCAAAAAAATCACTTGACATCAACCCTTCAAATCTTATAAAAACGTTAAAACTTAATAAAAGCCGTTCCAACTTGAATAAAATACCACATAACTATTCACAAACGTTTTCTCAATGTATATTCAACAAATCCTCTTCTAATCTCAGCCAAACGCCGATGTTATACTTGCCTAAACACATCAATCAGCTCAAAAATCCATGCCAAAGCAACTCTAAACTATATTAAAATTAAAAAACATCAACATCAACATTTTCTTACCTTCTTTGGTCGTTTTGTGGGTGAAGAATAATGGTTGAGGCTGTATCTTCTTCTTGGCGGCGTCGTGCAGTTCACGATCCCAATAACTTCTGTTTGTGTGGGCGCAGCGGTTCGGGCTGTTTCTGCAGTCTGCAGCAAAGACGTAAACCATTTATCGTCCATTCTGGATAAACAGTATGAATTCGTTTGATGTTTGTAATAAAAAAAGGTCATTTTTAAAATGTTTTTAAGATTTTCCATCCAAACTATTAACAGGCCTGTCATTTTTCATAAAATCTTTAGTTCTGGCTCAATTATAACATGAATAACTGTTGCTTTGGCCAAAACACAAGGTTTCTGGGTCAAAAAATTCATAGAATCAATCCTTCATTAACCTTTAAGCTTCTTCATGAACTTTCTATCCATATTTTTACCCAAACAACAGTTTAATGAGGTTTAAAAACTCCTTTAGTAGCCGCAAACTAACATAATATACCAAAAACCAGACAAACCAAAGAAATCAGACGTTTGGGACAACAAGACCTTTTCATAAACTACACAAATCATTCCGATACGTTAATTTCTTGAGTTTATACGTTGAGATTAAACTAAATTAGTGTAAATGTCAAAAGATTACAAAGGATTTAGGCGTCCTTTTGGGGCGAGTTCAATTGGTAGGCGGCGTAGCCGAAGAAGGCGTAGTAGGCGGTCCACAAAGCGTAGGGGATGGTCCACAGGCCGGCGTTCTGGTCAATCTTGTAGAAAGCGTAGGCGGTGGCGGCGGCCGTTCCACTGACCAGAAGTGAGTTATAGAAGAGCTGAAAGTATGGCATATTAACAGCAACATAAGACATCAACTTGTGTCATTTCTATACCAATATATAAATTTAGGTAACACTAAAAGCTTTTAAAACTTTTAAATTTAAAAAACCTACACATTGGAAGTTGGATTTCTTCAAAAGTGGGATGTTAACCAAAGCCAGTCCAACATTGGCACCGTACAAGCTGAGAGCGACGGTGGTGTCGGTGTAGTCGAAGCCACCGCCGTTCTTGTACACTAGGTATGAAGCATATCCCAATGGAGCAATTGTCATCAAATCAATTGCCGAATGGGTGGATCTGCTCTTGATCGCCCAATGTGGCTTGCGGGCACTCTAAAATGATAAAGCTTGTCATGTGTAATATGTTTTTGATCATAACTTAAAGATTGGAAGTCATATTTGAAAATCCTTTAGTCAACACGTTACCTAACCTATAATTTTACTTTTAAACATAAAAAAGCAACAATAAACCAATATACGACTTTAGTCTAACAGATTTTTCAAAAAAAGATGTAAGTGATATAGTACAATATACTTTATATCATAACTCAAAATTACATGTTCTAGTCCCAATTCCTCTTAGCCATACCTAATTCAGACTGTATTCTTGCTTTTGAACGTAAAAACGCTATCATAAACGAATATTTTAGGTTCATTTTGAAAAGTGTTCTGAAGTAAGTAAAAGTAGCCAAGTGTAACATCCTTTTAACCAGAAAATGAAAAGTAAGCAACATGTTAACGTGAACGTTTCTAATCACATTTTCTACACGATATTTTTGCTACTTTTTACAGAAATTTTACAAAAAAGTTTTTATTTTTCCAAAAATTATAGATTCTATATACACCATAAGAATTTCGTCCCTATCATAATATTTTTATCATAAAAAATTCTATTGTTGATATTTTTCCACAGAACTAGCTCTAAAATTTGTGATTGCTTCTTACTGACCTTCTATAATAATATCTTTTCAATAAATTCATAAAATATTGATTTATATCTATTTTACTTTTATATGTGATATTGATCCCTCTTGATGTCCTTTCAACATTTCGACTAAAAAACAGTTCTTACTACCTCGAAAAAGTTCAACAATCATCCCTCTCAATCTATTTTTAGCCATAAATAACGTAATTTTGTCACGTGTTGTGTTCCTAAACCAATAACAACAAAGACAAACAAACATACGGTGATAACGTTGTCGATTTCCTTATCGCGAGCAATGTAGGCCGCGCCAGCGACTCCAGCACCAATCGGAAGGATCGAAGCGATGATAGCGCGACGAGTGTCGTCCGAAGTCCAGTAGTATGGCATGATGCTGCTCACGTTCGAAGCGGGTCCAGCTGGAGCTCCAACAAAGTCTGAAACGGCGTAAATTAGATCGTTGGTCTTTCTAGCAAGATAACAAAAGAATTAACAAAAAATTAGATCAAAAATCAAGTGTTATTTATCAAAGACATAGTGTAGTAGAAAAAATACGTCTTTTTGCTAAGTTTGAGCGGCAAAACCTCAAAAATTATATTGTTTTAGGTCCTTAGTTGTACAATAAACAAGAAAACCGTTTTCTCTGTTTAAAAATTTAAAACCAAGCTTTAATTAATTTAAAAAATTTAGCCTTTAGGCAATAAATTTTAATGTATTCTTCAAAAATAACATTCGAATCTTTACCTAATACAACATAGCTTTCGAATCTTTACCTACTACAACATAATTTTCAAGGATTTTTCCGCAAAAAGGTCGCGGAGAGAAACAACGTGATTCTCACGTGTTATACCTAAAATCTTTTCAAAAAATCTCTCCAATTTTTCGGTAAAGCTAAACCTTGCAAGTAATATAAATTATAACATTCATATTTACATTATTAATACCTAAATCAACATGCTATCTTTCAATTTTAAGTTACCTGTACCTAAAGCTGCTTTACCTAGAACTAAAGCTACTAATATTGAAAATTTGAATAAACTACAGCACCTGGAGAAGTGTCGTGGAAATAGGGATCAACAGTGACCATGGTGAATATAATTTAGTCAATAAACTTGTAGTTTTTAGCAAAGACAGGTAGAATAACAACTCTCCACCAGCTAACAAACAGTTGAAGAAGTAAATTGGAAAAAAACTCGAGGTTTATTTTTGTTTTTTTGGGGGAAAACAACAACCTTTCTCGCCCTCTCGCCTCCCCCAACCCCACACTCTCTGCATGGCCCAAACTCGTAAACAACCCGGGAAAGCCAATGGGATATTTTGCTTGTGTCTCTCAAAAAAGAGGATATTTTGCGTCGGTCTCTCGTCAAAGCCTGGTGTTCTCGTTTCGTTGCGATTTCATAAAAATGGGCGTTCGAAAAGTGTTCGCAGGCCAAAGTCCAAGCTTGCTTCGACCCTCTCGCCGCTATCAGCTAGAGAAGGGAGTTTTGAAACAATTGTTCAGAAAATGTTTTGAGGCAATAGCTCAGAAAATTTCTTGAGTCAATAGTTCGGAAAAAGTTTTTAGCACTTGTCAAAAGATCTTGTTTTAGGCCCAAAATCTCACAGCCGCATTTTCTTGCTTATCCAAGTGATCGTTTCTGATGCTTATACCTATTCTAAGCGATCGTTTCCGTTCGCAATTGTTGTAGAGCACAAAATTTTTAATGCACTTTTAGATAAACATTTATTTTTAGCTACTACTAGAGCTAAAAGTACATTATTCGAGCTGAAAACCTACTGTTTTTGACTAAAATCCAGAATAAGTAGAGTTACGGCAAAACTACTGTAACTCCAAGAAATTTTTTTAAGTTTAGAATTTTTCTTTTGCTTTACTTGCCCATAGGCATACTCTAACACCACAAAAATTTTCAAAGTCATAACTATCCGATCAAAAAAGTTACAGGGAAATCTGTGCCCTCATTTTATATTATCCATGCCGCTCACTTATTACCGGGTGTTTCCAAGCCTTTTGGGCAAATTTTTTCAAAGGTTTATAAAAAAATAAACGTAGGAAAGACTAAATATTAAAATATTGACGTTTATCAGCCATAAAAACAGTAAAAGTTAAGTGATTTACAGAAAAACATGAAGAACGGTATCCAGAATGAATGCTTTTACCCGGAGAGGTCAATAAATACGGGAAAACAGTCCAACATAGATACGATTTTTACGCTAAACAACTAATTGAACTTTGTTTAGGTTTTACCTAAACATTTGGCTTTAGTTTCCATTAACTTTTTGAGAAAGAAATAATATTGTTTTAGGGGCCATCAAAGCTAGTGTAACATAAGTTTTTTTGTTTTTGTGGCTTTAAATTAGAAAGAACTTTACTTTTTACGTTAGCAACAGAAAGAACATTCTTTTTGGCATTAGAAAAGATTAAGTTTATTAAAATAAAAGTCCAAGAACAGCAAGCTTCATACGATATCGTCCCTGACATCAGATCGGAGAGAGCCGATAACATTATTCAATTTTGACAATTCAAATCAAACCAAAACTAATAATAAGTACTAATCATACCAAGAACACACTTTTGAGCTCAATAAAACACTATTTCTACTCAAATTAAAGCCCAATAACATCAAGTTTAATTCGATGTTATCCATGGCATCAAATAAAAAACTTTTTCACATTTTATAGTTCAAAACGCACTTTAAATATGTCACAAAGGGCCTCGAAACATGGCCAAGAGAAGGGAAAAGTATTGGACATAGAAAATTCGTCCGTCTTTCCCTTCCCTCGTGACCTAAAGCAGCAAAAAATTTTTAAAACGTCAGAAAAAGTGTGTTCAAAGGAAATAACGGCCTTGAAAATGTGTTCTAAATTAAGAAAAAGGTGTTCGAGAAAAGATAAATTGATAAAAACCGTAAAATCTTCAAGACTTTTACATCTTCAAGCAAAGAATAAACATCTTGTACATGTTTCGTTGAGAAAACCGTGAGATTTGGCCAGAAAAGGCAGAAAACTGAAAAATGAGTCGTGTCTTATTCTCTTTGGTCGGGTGTCGCACTGGGGATTTCGGTCACGGATCTAGTGGGTCAATCTCTTGATTATGGATCGAGTTGGTATGGAAAAACCAAAAATAATATGAATTTATCGAATACTCAATGCTATTTTGACATTTTTTCTTATTTTTTTAAATTTTAAAACAGTCTAAGGCTTTATTAGTCCAATATGCCAACTTATATGTATAGTACTTTATTCAAGACCGGTATAATTAATAAAGCTGTAAAGATATGTCAAATATTGTTATTGTCTACATTATAATTGATATTTGTATTTCAAAAAATATTGGAAAGTCGTTGCACCGTGCGTTAAATAAAGGACCGCGCCGTGCAGTCAAATTGGAGGCCGCACAGTGCAAGAAATTACGCAATTGCACCGTGCAGTCAAATAACGACTGCACTGTGCAAAAACTATTAATCAGTTGCCCCGTGCAGAATTAAAAAACCATTAAAACAATATTTCAAAAAGGTAAAACAACTTCAAAAAATGACAAATAAATAGAATATGAATATTTTTGTATGATAAAAAGAGCTATTTGATAATAATTAATGTTAAAGCTATCAAAACATGTCAAAATACAATCAAACCCTATAACCATATAGTTATTCGAAGGCCTTAGAGGCTAACAATCACAATATTTTCACCAGAAACATCAAAAACCATAAATAAATAAGAAAAACAATCAAAAATTGTAAAAAGACATACTTCATGTTTTCGTGATGGGACCATGACGAAATAAGTTTGAATATTAGTAAAGTGTAACAGAAAGTGTATCCAAAGTGTATAAGTAGTGCAAAAGTGTACTAGTAGTGTCAAAAATAGTGGAAATATAATAAAAGTAGTAATAGAACTACAAAAATTTATAAAAAATAAATATTCATTTTTAGTGGTAAGACCATGACAAAGAAGTACCAGTAGTACCAAAATTATAAAAATGATAGAAATCGTGTACTAAAACCCCAAAAGTGATTAAATGCAAATTTAGTACTAAATTCCCCATTATCTTTCTTATTTGCACCATTGCACCACAAAACAATGGTACCATTCCCTAGTCCGTTCGACTGGACTGACTGCCACCCATCGCCGAGTCGGTAACACTTGACAATGGCGGTGAATCCATTAAGAAGGTCATTCTTCTGGCCGTCACAACTGCATCTGATATGGCCGGGAAGAAGTTGGTTTTTGGTACCACTTTATGGTATCCTGCCTTCTCAAAAAGTTCTCGGACTGGAGCTTTTGCGGCTGCAAAGAATACGTGCACTCGGTGATGTTGAAGCTCTTGGTGAATCTAAAACAGTAATAGTTGGATAACAATATCAAATGCTTAAAATTTTTCAGTGATAAAACATGGCTAACAAGAAAATAACCAAGTTAACACTATATTCAAATTTCTATAGTACAAAGTGCCTCAGAAAAACATATCTTCCTATTTTAGCCAATTTGAGACCCATATAAGCAAAAAAGTGACATGTTATACGATGGAACATGTCCAAAGGCAAAATAACCAAAAATAAATTTTAAAATAGTCTTGTATTGTACCAAAAACTTTTAAAATCAATTTTTATAGTTTTCAGCTCTTTTGATATCGATATAATAAAAAAGTGACATGTTATACGATGAAACATGTCTGCCACAAAAATCGAACATCACTAAAATACCACAAAATTCAAAGTTGTATAGTACCAAGTGTCTCAGAAACCCATATCTTCCCATTTTGGCCCATTTCAAGTCCACATAATCAAAAAAGGGACATGTTATACGAAGAAACATGTCCATCACAAAAAATCGAAAATTATCAAAATACCCCGAAATTCAAAGTCCTATAGTACCAAGTGTCTCGGAAACCCATATTTTCCCATTTTGGCCCATTTCAAGTCCATATAATCAAAAAAGTGACATGTTATACGATGAAACATGTCTAACCCTAAAATCGCTAAAAGTACAAATAAAATATACTGACTGCCCTTAAAACGCAACCCACAGTCAAAGCAATGAAACAAAACATCCTATCCTTACCTCCTTCATAGCATTCGCTCCCATCGTGTCGACAAAAGTAAAGCCGGAGCAGTCGACGACCAAGAATCGTTCGGCGTAGCGCCGTGCTTTCGGCTTCATATCGTCCACTTTCACTTCCAACGGTCGAAACGAGTCGACCGTCGTTTGAGTATATGACTCTTCTGTTTGTTCTAGTCTTGGTAGTCGTGTTGCCACTTTGGTTATTGTTGCTTTGAAATGTTCGACGTTGGTGAAAAGTAATGGCGCGTCGAAACGGAAAATCGAAATTCCCTGAAAATGGTGAATAAAATATAGCAAGAACTTTCTTTACAAATTACAAAAATGCAAAAAGTTTCTTTACAGAATATAAAATGGAAAGAACTTTGTTTACAAAACAAATTATGGCAAGAACTTTCTTTACAAAACAAAAAATGGCAAGAACTTTCTTTACAAAACAAAAAATGGCAAGAACTTTGTTTACAAAACAAAAAAATAGCAAGAACTTTCTTTACAAAACAAAAAATGGCAAGAACTTCCTTTACAAAAGAAAAAATGGCAAGAACTTTGTTTACAAAACAAAAATAGAATTCATCGTATAACATGTCACCCGCAGCCTGCAGAAACACAAATATCAAGGTTTCTCGTTTAAAAATAGCAAGAACTTTGTCAACAAAGCCAAAAAATTTTTAAAAATGGCATTTATCGTATAACATGGCACCCGCAGGCTGCAAAACCCAAAAATCTTAGTTTTTTCAAATAGAAATAGCAAGAACTTTCTTTCCAACCCAAAAACATCTAACTTTAAAATCAAAACCCCCCAACTCACATCCATTTTCGTGGTATTGTCATAGCGTTCCTCGTCCCTAAAGTCGGTCGATCCTTTCAAATTGCCCAAGTAGTGCCACCTTGGCCATTGTGTTCTGAATACGATTGTCACCAAGGCATAGACCACCGAGATTGCGAGCCCTATCGTCACACTCCATGTAGCGGTTGCGACGAAGCTCACGACCCAAATCGAAAAATCAATTTTGGCCAAGTGCCAGAGGCGTTTTAGCTCCGAGAACTTGCGAAACATACCGGTCAATGCCACAATAATGATTGATGATAGGACGCACTGCAATTTTAGGTATTAAATTAGGTAATAGATCAGGTAAATTGCACTGTAAAGAATGTTCTTGCCATTTTTGTTCTGTAAAGAAAGTTCTTGCCATTTTTTGTTCTGTAAAGAAAGTTCTTGCTATTTCTGCGTTTGTAAAGAAAGTTTTTGCCGTTTCTCAACCATAAAATCAAAATTTTAGATTCTGCAGGCTGCGGGCAACGTGTTGTACGGAGGAAATGAGTTTTACGTTTTGAAAAGAAAGTTCTTGCCATTTTTTGTTTTGTAAAGAAAGTTCTTGCCTTTTCTTGTTTTGTAAAGAAAGTTCTTGCGATTTCTTACTTTGTACAGAAATTTTTTGCAACTAAAATTTTTTTCTTACTACACATTACTATAAATACCTTAAAAGTGATAAACTTACCATTGGCAATGTCTCTAGATAAGTTCCGACCTTGAGGATGACTCCAACCAATATTATGCTTGAGAATAGTGAACTCAGCTGAAATAATTGCTCAAATTAATAAAAATTTTCGTAAGACATTTTTTTAAATATACTCCAAATGTACAAAGGTTCAATTTTCAGCCATTTTCAGGCCGTTTTACATCAAAAAAGCCAAAAGTGACATGTTATACGATGAAACATGTCCGACGCCTAAAACTTTAAAATTAACACAAATTTCAAAATTCTACAGTACCAAGTGTCTCAAAAAATCATATTTTCGTAGTTTAGCCCTTTTTAGCTATTCCAAACCCATATAAACAAAAAAGTGACACCTTATACGAAGAAACATGTCCGCCAAAAAAAATTTTTGGAAACAATGTAAAAACCTGTCAAGTTGGCTTCTCAATACTCAAGAAAATCATTTTTTCACTTTGAATCTTCTTTAAAGCCCATGAAATCAAAAAAAGTGACATCTTATATGATGAAACATGTCCGCCGCAACATTTTTTAAAAATAATGTAAAATATAGCCTAGTATAGTACTAAACACCTTAAAAACCCATTTTTTCACTTTTAATCACCTTTTAAACGCACAAAATCAAAAAAGTGACATGTTATACGATGAAACATGCTTGTCAAAAAATTTTTTAAAATTTTTAAAAATATCATATAAACCTTGCCCTTACCTGTGTTTTAGCTCCAACATCAGCACTAACCACCGTTCGACTCAACGAGCAGGCCGTGGGGTAAATTGGAAAGATGGATGATAAGGAGGTGACAAAGCCTAGAGCATACAGCTCTTGAGAAGTGTCAATTGGATAGTCCAGCCGTTTTGATAGCATTTTACCCAATGAAATGTGAATAGCCGCCACCACTGCCGCTATACTGATGGCGTGAGGTATGAGTTCGGGAATGAGGGTGGGGTTCGGCCATTTTGGGTGGGGTAAACTGAAAATGGCAAAAACTTTCTTTACAAAACAAGAAATGGCAAAAACTTTTTTTACAAATAAAAAAATGCAAGAACTTCCTTTCCAAATGTCAAAATGACATAAACTTCCTTTACAAAACAAAAAACGGCAAAACTTTCTTTACAAAAAAAATAAACAGCAAGAACTTTCTATACAAAAACTAAAAATTCACTTTTTCTAATATTATACTTACTCTGACGGTAATTCCCCAACGACAGCCATGTTATATCCTCCTTTAAAGTCCAAAAGCTTTGAAACCGCGGCTCCAGCGATTAACTGAAACATAGTAATAGAAAAACCACAATAACTTTCTTTACAAAACAGGAAATGGCAAAAATTTTCTTTACAAAGTCTAAAATCGCAAGAGCTTTCTTTACAATTCAAAAAATTTTCAAAAATACCCTAAAAACACCTAAAATCGACCGTTTTAAAAAGTGGTAGATTTCTAATGTAATTTGCACTGAAAATCTTCCAATTTTCAAACCACCGTCATAACTTTCTTTCCCCCTCCACAAATCAAAAGTCATGTCTCCACTTACAATCATAAGTTCAAATGGCACAGGTACATTCAAGTTGTACCGTCTTTTCAAGAATGGGTTGATGTAGAACTTGCCCACGACCAGTATGATCAAGCATACTGTAGCCAAGGTGATGGTCGTGACATTAGCCTTGTCTGCATTTAGTACCAGGTCCCGAAGCTTTAGAAACAACATTCCTAGTCCATGATGAGGTGGTTGTTTCGGGATTCCAAAGTAGTTTCGTATTTGACTGACTAGTACGTGGCAGGCTGCGCCCGTGGAAAAGCCACCTATCACTGCGTCGGAGAAATACGTGGTTAGGATGTCTAAGCGGAATATTGCCATTGATAGCTAAAAATAGCATTTTTAGTCCATTTATGTTATTAAAGAACCAAAAGTTTTAAAAAAGTGACATGTTATACGATGAAACATGTCCAACACAAAAAATTTCAAAATTAGTACTAAATTCAAGTTTCTATAGTACCAATTGTCTCAGAAAACCATATTTTTCTATTTTAGCCCATTCCAAAGCTATAGAAACAATAAAATTGACATGTTATACGATGAAACATGTCAAAATAAAAATTTTTTAAAATTCTATTACAAATACAATTCCAATGCCAACAGTAACTTTACAAGCCATTTTTACCATTATCAAACCAACATTCAATTAGTTATACATCAAAATATTATCTTACATGAACAATCCCCACAGTCAACGACAACGTCGATGCCAATTCCAATCGATCCTGGTCGGGGAACGCTTCCAATGTATTTCGAGTCATTAATGAGATCACAGCAAATGTTCCAAGTGAGTTTTGCCTCGTCGTTCCGAATATTAAGTATAGTAAGGGTGCAAATAGTGATAAATATAGGCCGGAGATTGGGGGTAGACCAGCTAACACCGCGTAGGCTATGCCTGAAATTAAAGTTTTTAAAATTTTTTTTTGAAAAATAAAAGGGAATACTTGAGAATTTTAAAATTAATAATGATTTTTTAAAAAATATACTGAAAATAGACAAAAACTTTGTTTACAAGCCCAAAAACTCTAAGAAACCAGCCAAAAACTTCCAAAAAAATCATTTAAGCCTAAAAACGCATTAAAATTTAAAATATTATTTGTGTAAAACAAAGAAAAGAGTCATAAAATAAAAGTGCAGTACCAATTTTATAAAAAAATTTTCAAAAATGTGCAAAAACTTTATTTACAAGCCCAAAAACCTTACAAACTTGCCGTAATTTGCCAAAATATTAAGAAAAATATCATTTTAAGCCTAAACAAAACCTTGAATTTTAGAAAATGTTACCTAAAAAGCTCGGATATTTTGTTGCCGAGTCTTTGCAAACGCAAAAACTTTCTTTATAGCTCAGGGAAAAGCCTGAGCTATAAGGTATTTTAGCTTGGAAAGTTCACACTTTAAGTAAAACCTCCATTTTTAATAATTTGTTCAATTAATTCTGAGCCCTTAACCCCTAAAATCTTCTTTGGGAAGAAGCACAGAATTATATGAACAAACAGGAACATCGCCATGGAGTAAATCCATCTCCCTCCCTCCAGCGACGTCCCTATTAAACAACCTAATAGGCTAAAGCCCTAGCTTACCCTGTGGAATATGCATAACAGCCAATGTACAGCCAGCAGTGAAGTCGAATCCCAGATTCTGTTTCCATTTGTACTTTGGAATCCATTCGAAAAATGGGAAAAATCCCAACATTGTAGAGAAAAAGCGCCTCGGCGACCTGAACGGCCGCTTATATTGCCTTAGGATCTTGGCCGAGCGTCGCATGAACTCGTTGTGCTTGTGTTCTGGCTTATTGTAGTGGTAAAAGTCATCGAAATCCTTCTGGAAATGGCGAAAATTTTGTTTACAACTTAATTTTCAAAAAATTAAAAATAGCAAGAACTTTGTTTACAGAGCAAAAAATGGCAAGAATTTTCTTTACAAAACAAAAAATGGCAATAACTTTCTTTACAAGTCATAAAAAACCAAAACTTTCTTTACAAAAAAAGCATGAACTTTTTACACATACCTGATTCATAGCCGCCCGATACCCAATATTGATACTGTCCATGATTTCATAGCCAACTTCTGAATTTTCTTGCGACAAGTCTTCTGAACTGGACATTCTAAAATATTTTTTAATTAAAAAACCCATAATTTTTTTAAAATACCTTAATTTTCAAAAAATATTTGTTTTGCACAGTGCAACCAATTAAATGACTGCAGTGCAATCGAATAAAAGCGTGCACAGTGCAGTCATTTATTCGCTGCACTGTGCGGTCTCTTATTGGCATTCACTGTGCAATTGCGTAATCGTTAAAACCCTTGCACGGTGCAACCAAATGAGCTATGCACAGTGCAATCAAATAAAATCTTTGCACTGTGCAGCCCAAACTGAAAGCTCTGCATAGTGCAAACATTTAAAAAACATTTTTGGTCTAAAAAAGACGGTCAAACAACCTATCAAAACTAATTTTTCAACAAAAATAAGGTTGATATTTCAAAGAACAGATTAAAATAACATCAAAATGGAAACAATTTCCTCATTTTTTAAAAATAAAATTAGTAACCCCATCATGATTAATATCCGACTCACGAATCAAGTCCAAACAGTTAAAAACTGACATTTTTTGATGTTCAATCGACTGTTGAACAATATTTTCCGTTTTAAAATTCTTTTCTAAGTTTACATTTAATTGTTCAAGTAATTCTGAGCCCCCTCAAAATAACTCTTCATAGTTAGGGGGCACAGAGTTATTTGAAAAACCTAATATTTGGTTCGAATTGTCATAAGAATCTTACGGATTAGGAATTAATAGTCGATTTCCTTCCATTTTGGGTCAATTTGACATCCAGATGTTAGAGTTAAAATACGGGTTTTATCACGCCTTAAGTTCGATTTCTATAAAAAATTGTTGTAGTAAGTTGTAATAGCCTTATGAGAAGATATATCGATCCTTCACGCAAAAAAACTTAAATGAACTTTGAGAAACTTAAAATTTGGAATAAAAAAACAAAAAATTAAAACTTTAGGCTTAGGCTTTTTAGGTTTAGGCTTTGTAGGCTAAGGAAGCACAGTCTTTGTATGCTGAAGCTCAACACAACGTTCATTTTTTAAACACAATATGCATTTTTAAACGGCAGGTAAAACGTGATGCCTCGGTGAAAAATAGAGTAAGATCCCCGTACTCGCAGTAATTTGTTGGGTCGTTTTACATCGAGGCAAGTATTATATAAAATCATAAAATTACATAAGAAAAAGTTACGTAATACCATTTCTTGCAATTTCTCCAAGGCTATGTCAATATGATATTAGGTAACACTGCAAAATCATTCTGACATCATGAACAATATCCTTTGCTAGTACCTCTCTCGATCGTTATAACAATAAAAAGAATAATCAGTGATAGACGGTCAATTTTAGTCTGAAGAGAGGTCAAAAAATATCTAAAACCCTGATGAGAACATATAAAGTTGTCTACGACAATGTCCTTCAACGATAACCTCTATCCAAAGAACAAAGTCAACACTATATTTAGCTTAACCTCGACGCAAAACCAAACCCAACAACAATAAAAGGGCGAGAACTTGGTGAAAAAAATAGGTAAAAGCGCGAGAGCGACGCATATCCAGCTTATTGTTGTCACCGATTCCAATCATTCTGCCGCATTTTCCACGAAATTCACCACTCCTTCACTGAGTATTTTGCTTTCTACACATTCGAGCAGAAGGCTCACGTGTTTTTCAACCAAAATTGGAACAGCAATTGATAAATGACAAGTGTAATATCGAAAAAAGTTGGAAAAGAATCAAGTTTTTGATGTTGCACAAGATTAATTGGTCAGAGGCAGAAGAAAATCATTTGTAAAACGTGCGAAAACTGTTCAAAATTATAGAATAACATCTTCGCTACTTCCTCAATCCATTTTATCAAAAAAAAACGGCAAAAACCTTCGAAATCGAGCCAAAAACCTTATGATACTCGTCGAAAACAATGTTTTCCTCATGGATAAGATTCAGCCACTAAAAACAAGCTGCAATTCACCTCGTATTACCTAAAAACACAACAAAAACAAAGAAAAAGACTTGCTTTACATTATAATTGAAATCCAAACGGAAAGACCTCAAAGTCAAACAGAGATTATGTTATCCATGTTCATCTTTCTATCAATACCTCCAATTTGCTGTAAAATTATTAAAATAAAAGACAAATTAATAAATCTTTATAAAACAGCTTCTCAAGAACATCATAAACGTTTATTAAATTATTTACAGCAAAAGAATAGAAACGTCCATCGAAAACATCACAATTATATTATTCTTGATGTCAGTACCTTCAAATTGTTGTAAAAAGCTCAAAATAAAACAAATATTCATAAAACTGTACAGAAACAATCTAAAAAAAACATTATTAACGTTCCTCAAATTAAAAAAGCCCAAAGCGATAGGCGTTCCCATCAAAAATTATATTATCCATCCACCTTGAGAGCTATACCTTCATCTTGCCGTAAAAAACAAAAAATAAAGATAAGGTTAATAAAAGTTCATAAATACCTACTCAAGAACTTCAAAAAGGTCTGCTAAACAAGGCACAATCATCAAACAGAAATTTCTGTCAAAAACATCAAAAATTATATTAACCACGCTCAGCTGTTCGCAGTAAATCATAAAATTGCTCGTAACATGCTTGCTATTAAAAAACCCTCGCCAAATTAAAACTTTTCACATACCCAAGGCTCATATATTACACATGCCAACCATTTACCCAATCACAAGCATCGCTTCCCTTCAAAATTCAACTAAAACATCAACCACACCAAGTGTATGATAAGTAAACAACGCGGCTACCGTTACCATTAATGAAATATGAGGTCAAAAAGTTGATTGAAAAATGTCTTCCTGTGCCGTGAAAAAGTTGAAATGATGCAATTTTAGTGGAGCTGTCATCAATGTAGGTATACAAGTGACCGTATCAAAGTACAACATCGCTACTGTTGACGGCGTCCCGAAACGTTACAAAAAGTGATTTACTGTAGCAGCTGGAGGTCATTTCTCATTCGTTTGGCTATAGTTTTAGCAGAAAACTTGAGGAAACGATATATCGCGATATTCTGAATATTTAGATAACAAAAATGCCAAGACTTTTTGTTTTCGTGCTGGGACCAAATTGAGACTCAAGTGAATTGTACAATACGTCTATTAAAGAAAGCATTGATTTAAAAATATTTTTCAATGCATTCTAAAAATACATATGAAACTAAGTTGAGCCAGTTTCAAACAAAAAACCCCAGAAACCCATAAAAACTTTTAATATAGTAGTCCTTTACCCTAATTTACAGTACTTCTTCCCCCAAAAACATCCTTCAACATGCCTATACGAGCTCCGCAAAGATATGAACCATTAAAATAATGAAAAGTCCACCTTGCTTTTTATGTTTTTAGTCTGTCCCATCTTTAATTTGTGTCGAAATTCATCCCGAAGATGCCATTTGAAAACGAAGAAAAAACGAAAAAAACCGCCTGAGGGGCTCTTGCAAATCCATTGAAATGTCTCGATAGAAACCAATGCATGCTCATGAGACAAAACGAACAGGTATATTCAATGGAATTTAGAGGAAATGAGAGTTAAAGAGGATGAATAGGTAACATAAGGTTTAGATGATAAGTTTAGGTAACAAAAAATAATAAAAAATAAAAAAAACTTAAGAAATTACAAAAAAATGAAAGAAAAGGTAATATGAGATTATAAAAAGCACAACAGAACGTCATTCTTTTTAATATTGTCTTAAAACATTAAGCTATACAAGAGTAATATTAATCTCTTTCACAAATATGAAACATTAAACAAGGTTGCTAACGTTCAAAAAGAACTTATGACAAAGTTTAACTACTCTACCCTACCCTACCCTACCCTACCCCACCCTACCCTACCCTACCCTACCCTACCCTACCCTACCCTACCCTACCCTACCCTACCCTACCCTACCCTACCCTACCCTACCCTTATCTCACCTTGCAATCATCACGCCTTCCGTGAGCTTTACCATGACCTAGCCTAGCGTTACCACATCCACCCCTACTCTACCAACCCGATTCTAACTAAAAGTAACATACAGTACCCTACTTTACTGTGCTCTACTAAGGTTTTTTCCCTACCTTTCTTTAAAGTTATTGTAATATAAACCTAAAGTACCTCGCCGTATACTAACATAGCCCTATCAACAAGAGTATACCGGCTCCCTCATTCTCTATCCCAACTTTTTTCTACCCTACCCAAACCTACACCACCCAAACCTTTTTCCTACCCCTACTCAAACCCACCCCTAACTCAAATAAAATTTTCCCTCCCATGCCCACAAAACATTATAGATCAACATAAAATAAAGGTACGAACCCACAATCGGCATGTTTCGACCAGTAAGCTGTCAAAAACAAAAAGCGAACACATATTATTATCTTTTTGTCACACATTTTCTTGACAGACATGTTATGAGCGATCTCTGTTGTAAATGTGTTTGGGAAATATACTTTGTAGCTATCAGAAACGTCGTTTCACGTTTTTCTTGCCAACTTTTGCGAAATTTGATCGTAGCAATGGCTACCTGTGGACCGAATTTCCAAAAGGAAATTTTTTTTCGATTTCTCGTGTACAGGTATTACCTGTGGAACTTTTTTCGGATCGGCTCTGGGGGTAGATCCACCCCCCCCCCTTCCCCCCTAGCGACGCCCCTGGCAATGTCATAAAATTGTGTAAAAAAATTTTTAGAAATATTGAATTTTTGCCTTTGTAAAGAAAGTTCTTGCCATTTTTTGTTTTTTAAAGAAAGTTCTTGCCATTTTTGCTTTTGTAAAGAAAGTTCTTGCCATTTTTTGTTTTGTAAAGAAAGTTCTTGCCATTTTTGCCTTTGTAAAGAAAGTTCTTGCCATTTTTTGTTTTGGAAAAAAAAGTTCCTGCGATTTTTTGATTTGTAAAGAAAGTTCTTGCCATTTTTTGTTTTGTAAAGAAAGTTCTTGCCATTTTTGCCTTTGTAAAGAAAGTTCTTGCCATTTTTTGTTTCGTAAAGAAAGTCCTAGCCATTTTTTGATTTATAAGGAAAGTTCTTGCCATTTTTTAATTTGTAAGGAAAGTTCTTGCCATTTTTTGATTTATAAGGAAAGTTCTTGCCATTTTTTAATTTGTACAGAAAGTCTTGCCATTTTTTGCCTTTGTAAAGAAAGTTCTTGCCATTTTTTGTTTTGGAAAGAAAGTTCTTGCTATTGTAGGCTAGAGATCCTGCAAAGGTAGGGTAGGGCCCTATAGGGGTACTAATACCATTATTGTTTGTACCAGTAAGAGTAGAGGTAAAAGTACTAACGGGGTAGAACAAAAGTACCACTAGTACCATTGATATTCTCTATTAATGAATTTTAGTCTAGTTCCGTCACAATATCGTATTTATTAACTCATGATTAGTATATATACACAGTACTTTAAGTGAAGTAACAGGAAACACTTGAGAAGATAACTATAATTGTAGTACCCGTTGTGAGTAGAAAAACTAATTTAAAAATTGATAAGACATTAACAAGATCATTCTACTTAGGGGTAAAAAACAATGCACAAAAAGTTTTAAACGTTAATATTTTCATATTTAGACCAAAAAAATTTAAAATTGGAAGGATAACATAAGCTTAAGAGCTAAAAACTAACATTTTAGGTAACATTGACCAGACAGTCCCATTTCGAACTGAACTGAAATCGAAACCTTTTTTTAGACTAGACTGAAATCAAAACTTTCTTTTGCACTGGACTGACATCAAAACCTTCTTTTAGACTGGACTGACATCAAAACCGTCTTTTAGACTAGACTGACATCAAAAAACGGTCAAAAATACAAAACTAGAAGACCAACCTAAGTTTGTTGTTGTACCATGTTATTGGCCAAGAACATCTTCAACGCCGGCAAAATATGAGCCAGCTTGTCCATGTCAACATTATTCTGTGATTCGACTGGCTTTTCTTTATCCATTGTCATCACACCAGCCTCGACCATCGTCTTGCCTTCCCTTGACTTCTTATCCATCGTCTTTCTCTTCTCCATTGGCTTCTTGTTGGCCTTCTTCGACTCTTCCATCTTCTTCTTAGCCTCAATCTCCTCTCTCTCCTTCAGCAACTGAACAGTGAAGCCAAGTAGAGCATCGTACGTTGGGTACAACGTTCTTAACGGATGTTCTTCACATCGCTTCTTCATCAAAACTTCACTGATCTGGTTTAGGCTTCTTTTTGAGGTCTTTCTTCTTGGTGGTTCGGCCGAATCTGAGCTTGAAGATGAAGGCTTGGCTTCAGAATCTGATGAAGCTGAGTTGGATTCTGAATCCGAGGTTAACGATGTTGATTTGGCCTTTGAATCAAAACCTGACGTTGCTGAAGCTGCTGGAGAGCTTGATGACGATGAAGGCGCTACAGAAGTGGATGACGATGAAACTGCTCCAGAACTAGAAGAAGCCGAAGAAGAAGCTGGAGAAGCCGCAGATCCAATTTGCACACCGTACTCTGAAGCTGAAGCCGGTAAAGCTGGCGATACAGCCGGAGCACGAAACCATGTTGTTGTAGGTGTAATCGAGGCCATAACATCAGGTACTTCTTGCTTGATTGGCCGGAAAACTGGCTCATTGTTGCCAAAACCACTCATGTTTCCATTATTCTGGGCCAATAGAGCCGATGCGAACGACGACCAGTCGATACCAACCATGGGAGGAGGGCTTGAAGCGACCAAGAATGGGGATGGAGCTGCGTCAGTTGATGGCGATGAGCCTCCTGATCTCCTTCCCAATGATGCTTTTTCATCATAAATGTCCAGCCTAGAATAAAATAGGTATAAATCACTGTAAAATCAAGTTGAAAACAATCTTTATCAAGAAATCTTGTGCATCCATCGATTTAAGCGTCAATTTAGGTAATAAATAGAAATTTAGGTAACAGTTATATCTCTATTTTACAGATAAGCTTTTAAACATTAATTTACAATCAATATAAAGCTGTAAACACATATAAAACTCAAAGAAACAAACATTTTTCATTAATATCCCTATATTATTCATGAAAAACTTAAGATAAACTTGACTTCAACCTGAAATACTTTAGTAAAACCTATTTTTTTAGCAAAAAAGTAAGTTTTCTCTATAATTCGAATTTCAAGATCAAATAGGCGTTAAAAGTTACAGGAAGAACAACGAAAAATGAGCTTTTATCAAGACACTTCTATATTAACATAGGCTAAAAACAACTCAAATTCTTAATAATACTTCTAATTATTAATTCTAAAATAATAAACAGCATTTTCAGATCATTTTAATATCTATTTCAGTTCAAAACACAGAGTTGTAATAGGCGAAAAACTGATCTTCACCAACACACCTCTATATTAACATATAGAAGCCAAAAACGACCCAAAACGTAAAAAAAAGCTTCAAATTAATCTTTCTAAAACAATTTACGGCTTTTGCTGATTATTTAAAAGTCAAATTCAGTTCAAAAGTCTAATTTACAATAGTCGAAAAGTCAATTTTAACCAAGACATCTCTATGTTAACATAGAAAAATTTGTTCAAAACCCTCATTTTTGCGAAGTTTCAATATCAGAACCATATTAAACTTAGTGACAAGAATGCTCAATATTTTCCCTCCATCAAAAACATAAAAACTTACTTCCTACACTCCCTAACAGTGTCTCTAGTCTTTCTGGCACACATATGGAGGTGCAATGTCTCCGTGGGAGACTTTACCATCTTCATATCCTCTGTCAATGTGATTCGTGGAGCACTCCAGCTTACAATGTTAACTTTGTCCTTCACCTGCTTGTCCCTGATCAGTCTGCAGTCCTGGCACACATAATAGTGGTAGTTTTTTTGGTCCGTCTTGTTGAACCTCGTCTGTTTCCTGATGAAGGTGTAGACGCGCTCCGGGTCATCTGCTGGGCTCCACAACAGGCTTTGGTTGCCGAATTTAGTGGTGCTGGCGGCGAAAGAATCGTCACACATATTTTTAATCGAATTTCTTAAAATTTTTGTTTTAGCATTGCATAAAAAAAGAAAAAACGGCAAAAAATCGAAAAAAAACGCGAAATTTTCGTAAAATTCTTCTTGGCTCGAGCCAGCACGAAATTATAGTCAAAATCACAAATTCTTTTTTGTCTCCAACTCGTTTTATAAAGTACGTAGAAGCTACTGATTAAAGTATCAACAATAATATTCGCGCAATTTACAGTATACAAGCATACGATAACATGAACTAAAAATGTGGTGATATCCTTAAAACCCAATAAGATAGAAGCATGAAATTTTCAAAATAAGGTAGACCATCTCAAACAACGCATTTTTACAATTTAGACCAAGTTTCTACACTATCGTTAAGTATGTCAAAAATGGCATTATTGAGTCAAATAACCAGAAAGTTTCTCGAACTTTCCATTAAATTCCAATTTTCTCAAAAATTCTACATTAATGTAGCTAAATTTTGGTTTTGATAATTAAACTACAGCTTTTTGCGGTTCCAATTCACCTAAGTTCAACCAAAATGGGTAGGATCTTCTAACACTTTTATGCGTTTGAAGTTGACTCACCACCATATTAAACATGTACAGACAAAACAAAGGAAATTATACAAACCTCAGATTGAGTTTGGAACAAAACCTATATATTCTGAAAGCCCAGTACTCACTGATTACGGATTGGAACGTCCTTTTTTCCGAAAAGAATCGATAAATCGTAGTTGCTTCAGTGGCTGAGGTTCAAGGCTTATATATTGCTTTAGCCAGCAAGTATATATTTCCTTTATCAGCAAGTATATATTACTTTAATCAGCAAAAGTTATAAGCTATATGACAGTAAGGTTAGTAGCCATCTGACCTTACTTTCTAACACGAAAATACAGTACCTTATGGAGAAAACAGTATCTCAGGAAGCATACAGAATGTTGAGAATATCAAAAGTTCTACAAAAAAACAAAAAATTTCAAAATATATTATAGTATCTTTACTAAGAAAGTTTTGTCGCTTATATCCATTGAAACACATATAAATAAACGACAAGACTTTCCTAAACCCTTTTTAAATCAAGACAAGATAAGTGTAAGGAAAGATAAGCCCAAGACAAACCCAACACAAGAGAAACCCAAGACAAGATAAGCCCAAGACAAGATAAGCCGAGCCAGACCATCCACCAGAGAAGCCAATGTGTTGAATGGCCAAAAACTGCCCAAACAACTCGAGTTTCAAACGGCAGAGAAATCGCGAACCGACGCTGACCATGTTGGATATAGGTAAAGGAAAGGGCCGTCGCCAAGTGATTATACATCGATGCAAGCTTTTACTCTAGGCTTATTACGCAAGCCTTGGCTTCGGTTTTGGACGTTTTTTGGGTGAGGCGTTATCGACGAAAGGGAAGTTTAACCGCCAAAAAAAGTGTGTTAAGAAATCAATAATTTGAAAATAAAAAAATGATTTGAGAATATAAGACTGATTTTAAGCCTATGACATTGGTTTTATACCTAAACTTAAGATTTTAAACTTAGGAATCATTTTCAATACTAAAAAGCAATTTTAAGCCTAAAAAGCAATTTTAAGCCTAAAAAATCAGTTTTAAGCCTAAAAAGTCAGTTTCAAGCCTAAAGATTAGTTTTAAGTCTAGAAAATAATTTTAAGCCTAAAAAACCCTTTTAAGCCTACAAAATCTAATTCAGTCTAAAAACTAAGTTTAAGCCCAAAAAATCAATCTGGAACTTAAAAAATGAGTTAAAAATCAGATTTAAGCCTATAAAATTATTTAAAGCCTAAAAAACCACTTTAAGCCTACAAAAGCTGCTTCAAGCCTAAAAACAGAATTTAAGCCGAAAAATCAGTCTTAAACCTAAAAAATGAGTTTTAAGCGTACAAAATCAATTTTAAGTCTAAAAAAATCATTTTAAGCCTAAAAAATCAGCTTCAAACCTAAAAAACAATTTCAAGCCTAAAAAATAAGTTTTAAGTTAAAAAAACCATTTTAAGCCTAAAAAACAAAAAGCAAGCTTCAAATTTTTACTTAAATCTCTTTTAAACTCAAAACTAGCCTTAACGTATTTTACAAAAGTTTTTAAACAATAAATCCCAAAAGAACTAGAGTTTTTGTATTAGACACCTTTCGAAAAGTAGATCGCCAGCCAAAACGCGCCCATATTTGGGCCGTGCGACGCCCTTTCTCTGTTGAAATGATTGGGCCGAGGAGGTCGAGGTCACCTTCGGGACGGCCATGTAAACGCGATAATTTATACGGAACAGCCATCTTTCAACCCTTCTTTTTGGTTTTGGTCAATTCATTCCTAGCATTTGCCCTACCCTACCCTACCCTACCATACCCTACCCTACCCTACCCTACCCTACCCTACCCTACCCTACCCTACCCTACCCTACCCTACCCTATCCTACCCTACCCTACCCTACCCTACCCTACCCTACCCTACCCTACCCTACCCTACCCTACCCTACTCTTCCCTTCCCTACCCTATACTACCTTTCCTTGCCTTACTCCACCCCTAATTTCGCCTCCCCACACGCACTTTACCCTACCCCTAATTCCTTGCTCTACCCTACTCTGCTTCGCGTTACCCTTCCCTACTTTTACCTGCCCTGGCTCATTTTACCTTCTCAGCGCTACCGTACCCTGTATTTCCATTCCCTTCCTTTTTCTACCCTGCCCTTCTTTACCCTACCCTACACACTTTGCTTTCCTCTACCCCTTACTCAATTTGATCAACCCTACTCTACACTGCCTGGTCTTACCCTACTCTGACATACCCTACCCAACTCAACTTTGTCTTTTCCTGCTCTGCCTTGCCCTACCCTGCCCAAGTTTCTTTACAAAACAAGGAACCGCAAAAACTTTCTTTACTTTTTATGTAAAATGGAAAAACTTTTCTTCGGCTTTGTCCTACCCTACCCTGTCTTGCTCTACCCCACTCATTTTACCCTAGCCTGATTTTCCCTACCCTACCCACTTTTCTCTGCTCTACCCTGTCTTGCTCTACTACATTCATTTTACCCTACCCCACCCGTTTTTTTCTGCCCTACCCTGCCTTGCCCTACCCTAACCTGTCTTGCTCTACCCCGCTCATTTTACCCTACCCTACCCCGTCTTGCTCTATCCCACTCATTTTACCTTACCTTGATTTGCCCTACCCACCCCTACCCTACCCTGCCTTGCCCTACCTTTCCTACAAGGTTTGTTTATTATTCATGAGCCCCCTGAATTAAAAAATGGAAGCAATGGTTTGATCGGGAGACAGTGGCGACAAGAGCAAAAGACGAAGCGGCCGTTACAGTGCGTGCTTGGCGCTCCGACTTTATGGGTCAATCGCTGGAAATGGGTGAGAGAATGCCATTGCGCGGCCTCTCTTCGACTCGAATAAGGGCCGGCTGATCTGAATGAATGAATGCGCGACTTTCCACTCACGGCTCTTCAAGCTTTCGTTTTAGGTAGGGGTTGGGAGGAGTGGATCTGAAAGCGGGCCAGCTTGGCCCATCACGGGCTTTTTACAAGTTTAGGCGGGGGGGGGGGGATAAAATAAATTTTGCTGGGGTGGCGTGGAAATATATTTTTAAGCAAACTGAGGTTTTTTAAAAATATGTTAAAGCAGGGTAGGGTGGTGTAGATGTGTAGGGTAGGCTGCAGTAGCATAAAGGTGGGTAGATTATGGTTAAATAAAATTGAAAAAAGTAGGATAAATAATGTAGGGTTGACTAAGGCAAAGCAAACCAAAACATGGAACTTGAGAGCGATTTAGGGCAAAGCCAGGCTAGGGTATAGTAAGTTTTGATAAAGTAGGGTCCTCCTCGCTCTGTTACAAGAGTATTATATTCCTCACCAGGGGCGTCGCTAGGGGGGGTGGAGGGGGAGGGGTGGATCCACCTTCCCCCCCCCCAGAAAAAAATCCGTAGCGACGCCCCTGTTTCTCACGTTTTACTCCCTCCACAGACTACTGTAACCGCTGTACATCAAAAATTTCTATTTAAAAAAAACAAAATAATCATCCCCTTACTATTATATTAGCGATCGTTCGAATCATTCTGTGCCCACCTCAAAGCAAATTTTTGAGTTTCTAAAGACACAAAATTATTTGAACAAGCTAATAAATTAACTAAACACAGTAACAACCTTAACTACCATACTGTAAATTTAAAAATAAAATTTATCTCAATTAATAACCATAACACAAAATTTTTTTGTCAAAAAAACCCTCAAAAAAACAATTGACATTCAAAAGAGGAAATAATAGGCGATTGATAAGATTCGGCCGAACAAAAAATGAAACCGTTTTCAATCACAATATCACAATCAAAAGCAAAACAAAGGAATATCGCGCGACACAAAAAAACAACCAAAAATAAGTCACCAAAACCTTGAGACATTCGAACAAAACGGTGATTTTAGGTATATCACATTCAAAAACAATCGATATTTATTCGATTTTACAAAAATACATACCTATATGATATTTAAAATGTTATTTTTGAGAAAATTACACATTTACATGTAAATAGTTATTTTACATAAAGCAGAGAAAGACATGACTAGGTTAATATGTACAATGTCACATTTAGGTTAGTAGGGGAGGGGGTGGGGTAGATATCTATAAATATATTGTAATCAATCAACAAAGAAATCGAAAAATTGATAAAAAAATTAAAAATAGCTAAGAAATATACTAATTAAGCCTAAATAAATGTTCTTTCAAAGGCTTCGTTTTCAGTGAGAAAGACATGGTAGGGGGTAGCTTTTGAAAAAGGGGAAAAAAATAAAAATTTAAGCCTAAAACAAACCTCAATACCAGCCTAAACAAGCCTCAGTTTAAGCCTATAACCAACCTCAATTTAAGCCAAATTAAAGTCTCAACTTAAGCCTAAAACAAGCTTTACATTGAGCCCAAAAACTGCAATTTAAGCCTAAAGACTAGATTTAAGCCTAAGAAAGCGTCAATACGAACTTAAAACCAACCTTAATTAAAGTCTAAAAAGCCTCAACTTAATCCTATAACAAGCTTTACATTGAGCCCAAACAAACTACGATTTAAGCCTAAGACGAGCCTCAATTAAAACCTAAAATAAGCCCCAATTTAGGCCTATTACTATTCTCAGTTTAAGCTTAACAAATCGTCAATTTAAGCCTTAAAGTATGCTCAGTTTAAGCCTAAAACAAGCCTCGACTTAAGCATAAAACAAAGCTCAACTTAAGCATAAAAAAGGCTCAGCTTAAGCTTAAAACAAGCCTCAATTTAAGTCTAAAACAAGCCTAACCCAAACCTCAATTTAAGACTAACAACCCTCAATCTAAGCCTAAAACCAGCCTCAATTTCAGTCTCAAACAAGTTTAAATTTAAGCCTAAAACAAACTTCAGATTAAACCTGCAACAACCCTCACATTAAGCCTCAAACACGTGTTCCAGTCTCAAATTAAGCCTAAAATCAGCCCTCAAGACACAACTTTAGCCTAAACAAGGTTCTCAAACAATGAGAAGACTAAGCTAAGCCTAACAATGCAAATTAAAAATTTTCTCAAAAATCAAAAAAAAATATTTTGTCGTCGTTCCCCAGCGTTCCTTCATCGTTCCTACACCATCTCATGACTCTTTTTGGCCGCCAGAGACTTCTTGTCCATGCCCTCCTTGTCTTTCTCTTCTTTGTCCACAAAACTGGCATTGATCATCGACAGGTAGTCATCCTGAATGTCATCTACCTTCTTAAATTGCGGGTATGACTTGAGTTTTTGGTCCAGTAAATCACTCATCATTTTTTGCAATTGAGACATTTGATCCAATGATAGAGGTTCAATCTGAAATTTGTGTTTAGTAAAGAAAGTTTTTGCCATTTTTTGTTTTGTAAATAAAGTTTTTGCCATTTTTTGTTTTGTAAAGAAAGTTCTTGCCATTTTTTGTTTTGTAAAGAAAGTTCTTGCCATTTTTTGTTTTGTAAAGAAAGTTCTTGCCATTTTTGTGCTGTAAAGAAAGTTCTTGCCATTTTTTATTTTCTAAAGAAAGTTTCTTCCATTTTCTCAACTGTGAACGAAGATTTTGCCATTTATATCAAACAAAGCCAAAAATTTGTGTTTTGCAGCCTGCAGGTGACAAGTTATACGATAAATATCAATTTTGATCCTTGTAACTAAAGTTCTTGTCATTTTTATATCTTGTAAACAAAGTTCTTGCAATTTTTCGATTTGTAAAGAAAGTTCTTGCAATTTTTCGTTCTGTAAAGAAAGTTCTTGCCATTTTTCAGCCTGTAAAGAAAGTTATTGCCATTTTTGTTTTGTAAAGAAAGTTCTTGCCATTTTTACTCGAAATCATAACATTTTTTGCTTCTGCAGCCTGCGAGTGACAAGTTATACGATAAATGCTATCCTTCGTTCTGTAAAGAAAGTTCTTGCCATTTTCCTTTTTGTAAAGAAAGTTCTTGCTATTTTTTGTTTTGTAAAGAAAATTCTTGCCATTTTTTGCAAAAAAGTCCTCCAGCTTCCTTACCGGATCAGTCTCACTTGACGTGCTGTATGTTCTTTGTCCGTACTGTGAAGGAATTGGACAAACCTTGGCTGATGCGTACTTCTTTTCCTTCGCAACGTCCTTCACCATCGACGCTCGTCGCTCCACAATGCTGGCCGCTCTTGACATGGCGTCCTTGGCGAACATTCGAACGAATGGCGTCGCATCGAACTCTTGCTTGTTTTCAATGGTTAAAATTGGCTTTAGGTACATGGCATTCATGCGTTCGAACCAGTCTCTTAGAGAATGGGCGCCGTGAAGCGCTACCACGTCTTCTAGGCCTGCCATCATGTAGTCAATGTACTGAAAAAGTAAAATTTCTGACGTTTTTAGTCATAAATAAAAATTTTTAGTGTTTAGTGAAAAATTGAAATTTTATAAATTTTTCACCCACCGGATAAAAAAAAGAAGAAAAGCCCTCCCCCCCCTCTAAAAAAAATTCACCACATCCAAATTTTTTTAAAGAAATTAAAGCCTGAGCCAATTGTAAAGCTAATTTGTTTTAAAAATCGAAAAAAAAATTCACCCACCACCCACTAAAAAAAATTTTTTACCCCGCCCAAAATTTTTTTCACAAATATAAATTAAATTTAAATCAATAGTGAAGATATTAAAGCAATTTTAAAAATAAAAAAAAATTCTCCCCCCCCCCACAAAAAAAAAATTTTTACCCCGCCCAAAAATTTTTTTAAAAATACTTATGTTGACCCCGTCCCTCGTCAAAAATATCAAGAAAAATTTTTTTCACCTTTTTTCATAATCAAATACTTATTCAAATGACTTACACGTTGATAGATCTTCCTGAACATCATGTCGTCGTCGTTCTTTTGACGTTCCACTTTGAGTAGGGATAATAATGGTCTGATCGTACTGCCCTGAAATCAAATTTAAAAAAGTTTTTGCTATTTTTGGGTTTGTAAAGAAAGTTCTTGCCATTTTATGTTCTGTAAACAAAGTTCTCGCTATGTTTTGCATTGTGAAGAAAGTTCTTGCCATTTTATCTCTTGTAAACAAAATTTCCTCACCTGTAAGAAGACAGTAAAGCAAATAACCACAATAGTTGTTGTAGTAAACACAGCTTTGATCTCGGGGTCCATCGTATCTGGCATTGATGACAATAAACCGAAAGCGATTGCTCCTCGAAGTCCACCATATGACATGACAAATTGGTCTTCAAAGGTGAACTTTCTGGTTCTGAACTTATTCAGGATGTAACATTGAGATACCACACCTAAAATTATAAAAATTACTGCAATTTCCGGGTTGTAAAAAATTTTCTTGCCGTTTTTCGTTTTGTAAAGAAAGTTCTTGCCATTTTTTGTTTTGTAAGTTCGGCGCTAATCTAAAGAAATAACCCAGTATTACTAATAAAAGCACCCAATTTTTCTCCTATTTAAAGCACCCAAAAGTCAAATTTGCATAAATTTGTAATTATATTGTGTTATTTTTATTTGTTTAAAAAATTGTCATTTTTTTCTATCGACCGCGTGAGACGGTCGGGTTAAGATGGAATCCGATCTTGGAGAGTTAAATCCAGAATCCATTGATACTCTCTATGCCAACAATAATCTCATCCCCTACCTTCAAAGACATCGGCTTCTATCGGCGTCAATGACGTGTTCTAACTGTGGTGGTAAAATGATTATGTCAAGGCGCAAATGGTTGTCAGATGGATACCAGGTAAGAATATAGAGTTTACTATTTTAAATAATTCAACGTTTAATTGTACTGTTATTATCTCAGTGGCGCTGTCGGAAAAAAGATGGTTCAGACTGTTCCACTAAAAGTGTTAGACACTTGTCATGGTTTTCACTTAGTCGACTGAAACTGGTTCAGATTTTAAAAATAATATGGTTTTGGTCTCAAAAGATGACATCAGGTTCAATTGCGCGTACATTGAAGATCAACATAAATACAGTGATCGATTTCAAATCATTTGCAAGGCAGGTTTGCTCTTGGTATATGAAAGAATTGGGACAGTTTGGAGGAATGGGCAAAGTTGTTGAATGCGACGAAAGCGTATTTGGACACACCAAATACGGTAAAGGTCAACCCAACAGTACTGGCCATACGTGGGTGCTAGGTTGTGTTGAGAGAGGAGGAAATGTACGATCTCAGATTGTTCCATCTAGAGGTAAATCAGTTATACATCCCATTCTAAAACGATGGATTCTTCCTGATACGACATTGATTACCGACGAATGGAAGGGGTATAACGATATCGTTTTCAAGAGACTCACCATATGTCACATAACGTCATATTCCAGGTAAATTTTTTTATGTTGTATTATTGTAGCCTATTATCTAGGTACAATAGCCTACTATTTAGTTACAGTAGCCTACTATCTAGTTACAGTACCCTACTATCTAGTTACAGTACCCTACTATCTAGTTATAGTAACCCATTATTTAGTTACAGTACCCTACTATCTAGTTACAGTGCCCTACTATCTAGTTACAGTACCCTACTATCTAGTTATAGTAACCCATTATTTAGTTATAGTAACCCATTATTTAGTTACAGTACCCTACTATCTAGTTACAGTGCCCTACTATCTAGTTACAGTACCCTACTATCTAGTTACAGTACCCTACTATCTAGTTACAGTACCCTACTATCTAGTTACAGTACCCTACTATCTAGTTATAGTAACCCATTATTTAGTTACAGTACCCTACTATCTAGTTACATTACCCTACTATCTAGTTACAGTACCCTACTATCTAGTTACAGTGCCCTACTATCTAGTTACAGTACCCTACTATCTAGTTACAGTACCCTACTATCTAGTTACAGTACCCTACTATCTAGTTATAGTAACCCATTATTTAGTTACAGTACCCTACTATCTAGTTACATTACCCTACTATCTAGTTACAGTACCCTACTATCTAGTTATAGTAACCCATTATTTAGTTATAGTAACCCATTATTTAGTTATAGTAACCCATTATTTAGTTATAGTAACCCATTATTTAGTTACAGTACCCTACTATCTAGTTACAGTACCCTACTATCTAGTTACAGTACCCTACTATCTAGTTACAGTACCCTACTATCTAGTTACAGTACCCTACTATCTAGTTATAGTAACCCATTATTTAGTTACAGTACCCTACTATCTAGTTACAGTACCCTACTATCTAGTTACAGTACCCTACTATCTAGTTATAGTAACCCATTATTTAGTTACAGTACCCTACTATCTAGTTACAGTACCCTACTATCTAGTTACAGTACCCTACTATCTAGTTACAGTACCCTACTATCTAGTTACAGTACCCTACTATCTAGTTACAGTACCCTACTATCTAGTTACAGTACCCTACTATCTAGTTACAGTACCCTACTATCTAGTTACAGTACCCTACTATCTAGTTACAGTACCCTACTATCTAGTTACAGTACCCTACTATCTAGTTACAGTACCCTACTATCTAGTTACAGTACCCTACTATCTAGTTACAGTACCCTACTATCTAGTTATAGTAACCCATTATTTAGTTACAGTACCCTACTATCTAGTTACAGTACCCTACTATCTAGTTACAGTACCCTACTATCTAGTTATAGTAACCCATTATTTAGTTACAGTACCCTACTATCTAGTTACAGTACCCTACTATCTAGTTACAGTACCCTACTATCTAGTTACAGTACCCTACTATCTAGTTACAGTACCCTACTATCTAGTTACAGTACCCTACTATCTAGTTACAGTACCCTACTATCTAGTTACAGTACCCTACTATCTAGTTATAGTAACCCATTATTTAGTTACAGTACCCTACTATCTAGTTATAGTAACCCATTATTTAGTTACAGTACCCTACTATCTAGTTACAGTACCCTACTATCTAGTTACAGTACCCTACTATCTAGTTACAGTACCCTACTATCTAGTTACAGTACCCTACTATCTAGTTACAGTACCCTACTATCTAGTTACAGTACCCTACTATCTAGTTACAGTACCCTACTATCTAGTTATAGTAACCCATTATTTAGTTACAGTACCCTACTATCTAGTTACAGTACCCTACTATCTAGGGAGCTATCTAGTTACAGTAGCTTCTTATATATAATAGTTATAGTGGGCAACTTCAGGTACGATGATAATGAGCACCTTATTGTCAACACTAATTCGATAGAAGGATATTGGAGTCAAGTGAAGTCTTTAATCAAACTGGCTAATGGTATTTCTATAGGCAAAGCAAACGACACGAAAACCGCTCATGACACACTACTTCAATCCTATCTGGACGAGGCTTCGTTCCGATACAATAATCGCGATGCACTAATCGAGAACTTCTACACCGCTCTTCGAAAGCGCTACGTTTTGTAATGCACAAATTTGAATAAAGTTTTTTGGGTGCTTTAAACCAATTGTGGGTGCCTTTATTATGTTGGGTGCTTTCTCTAGTATGGCCCAAGTTCTGGCCATTTTTTGTTTTGTAAAGAAAGTTCTTGCCATTTTTCGTTTTGTAAAGAAAGTTCTTGCCATTTTTTGTTTTGTAAAGAAAGTTCTTGCCATTTATACCAAAAAACCTAAAAATTGGTGGTTTGCAGCCTGCGGGTGACAATTTGTACGACGAATGACACTTTTTGAACTTTTAGCTCTTGTAAAGAATTTTCTTGCCATTTTTTGTTCTGTAAAAGTTCTTGCCATTTTTTGCTTTGTAAAGAAAGTTCTTGCCATTTTTTGTTCTGTAAAAGTTCTTGCCATTTTTTGCTTTGTAAAGAAAGTTCTTGCCATTTTTTGTTCTGTAAAAGTTCTTGCCATTTTTTGCTTTGTAAAGAAAGTTCTTGCCATTTTTTGCTCTGTAAAGAAAGTTCTTGCCATATCGTGTTTTGTAAAGAAAGTTCTTGCCATTTATACCAAAAAACCTAAAAATCGTGGTTTGCAGCCTGCGGGTGACAATTTATACGATCAATTCCATTTTCCAAAAGTTCAAAAGCCTCGTAAACAACGTTCTTTCCATTTATTGAACTTAACCTACCAATAATCCTATAAATCAAGCATCCAGCCAACGTGACTATAATGAAGCCCCAATCAAATCGTGTCTGCGAAGAAATGGCAGACAAACCCAAGAACATAAAAACCACAGTTTCACTGGCTTGTGACATCAATTTGACAAAGTATTTGACAGAAGCAGAGGCATCATGGGTTATGTTACACTTAACGTACTGTTTCATCACAATTCCACAGCAACAGATCCTGAAATTAGAAAAAATTTTAATTTTTGGGAAAAAATTATTTTACCCCGCCCGAAAAAAAATAGTTTCTGCCGTTTTTGCCTTTGTAAAGAAAGTTCTTGCCATTTTTTAATCTGTAAAGAAAGTTTTTGCCGTTTTTGGTTTTGTAAATAAAGTTTTTGCCATTTTATACTTTGTAAAGAAAGTTCTCGCCATTTTTTGTTTTGTAAAGAAAGTTCTTGCCATTTTTTTGTTTTGTAAACAAAGTTCTTTCAAAAAATAATTTAATTCTTTACCCCGTCCCAAAAAATAAAAAATTACCCGGCCCTAAATGTTTTTCGCTTTTAAAATAAAATTTTTTTAAAAATCACCGCCCACCAAAAAAATTTTTTTACCCCGCCCACTGTTTTTTAAAAAAAGGTAAGAAATCCTATCCCGTTTCGAAAACTGCAAAGTAAAAAAAATCGCCCCTCCCCTTCTTCAAAAAAAAATTTTTTTTTACCCCTCCCCCCCCCCTCACCTTCAAAAAAAATTTTTTTACCCCTCCCACTTTCCTTTGCAAAAAAAATTAGAAAATGTCTTAGCTACTCAAAAAATCTTCAGATTTTTAACAACCACCCCTCCCTCGCCTAAAAAACCCATACCTTCCCTAAAAACCCCTCCCTAAAAAAATAAAACTTACGCCAAAATCGCTGAAAATCCGGTCATTTCAGCCATTAAATAAGCAATATAAGGTATGACAAACACAAACACCGGCCCAACCAGCTTGACTCTTTGAGTATATTTCGTTGCCAGAGCTGATACAAATGCAAACAACACCCCTATCAGTGCCCCACCCAGCGCTACGGCGAAGAACGATGATCCGAACACAAAGTAATGGACAGTTTTCAGCTTCTCCGTGCCTATCGTCGTCATTTTGTTAAATATCTGGAACAACACCGCCGCTATACCGTCGTTGAACAATGCTTCTCCAAACACATTAATAAACAAGAAGGCATTCACATGAATCTCCTCGAACACCGTGATCACAGCCACCGGATCCACAGCACTGATCAACGACGAGAATAAGTATGAGTCCACTGGCGAAACACTGATTCCAAACCAATTCGTATAGCGACTGACCAAAGCCAATGTTCCCCCAATTGCTACAGTGTTCCAGATCGTTCCAACCACAGCGAACATCATCACAGAGCCAAAGTTTTCAAATAACAGTCGATTTGGCATGAAATAGCCGGCGTCGAAGATGATCGGAGGCAGGAGGTACAGGAAGAAAACCTTTGAATTCAATAAATATAGAGTGTCATTGACGTGGGACATCTTGAGCATGATCCCAAGCAACAATCCCATTGTGATAAGCAGTGCTGAGTCTGGCACGGCTTCGCCAAATTTCTTGTTCACGTGAAACACTGAAAAAAAGATAATTTTTCACTGAAAAAGCAGAAATTTCTTTTAAAAAGTGCCAAAACAAATTAAAACAGATCTTAAATAGAAACAAAAATAGTCTAAAATATACTATAAATTATTGTCTAACCATTACAATCACAATTTAATCTATTTTACACTATCTTGCAACAGTTTCAACTAAAAACAACAAACGTCTTCCTTTAATGCCTAAAACAATATAAAATCAATCAAAAAAAAACCTAAAACAGAAAAACCTTACAAAAAAACCAAGATTCAGTCTATATTCATCTATTTAACACACAAACATCATAAAACAAATCTAATACAATAGCTAAAACAACAATAGAAAAAGTGACCTTCAAAAAACGTTACCTAAATCTGGGAAAACTCGAAAATTCTCAAAGAAAACTGATCTCAAAACACCAAAATATGTATCAAAAAGAAAGATAATACATTTATCTACCTTTTAAAACAACTTTTAAATTATTTGTTACTAAAAAAACGGTAAAACAAGCAAAGAAACTTGAAGAACTTACAAATTTTCGCGACACTAGCGAGTAAAAGCCACATTGCGCAAATGAACGGTGTTTCCACATGTTCCCAGTGATATCCAATAATCTAAAACATTCACTATATTATCCTCAACATCCTCTTGACCTTAAACTGTAAAAAGAAAATTTGAAAAACGATCAAAAACCCACCGAAACATCAATATTTTCCTCTGACGCCGTCTCTGCAGGTATCGTTACATTTTCATCGGAAATTACTGTGGTATAAAGCAAAGATAGAGCAAATAGTATCCTTAGTATCATGAAGACTATTATTTGATACCTAAAAATCAAAAGTTAAAGATATAAAAGTGGATGGGAACGAAGTGAGAGCTAAAAGAAATATCAACATTAAGTGATGGCTAGGATAACATGTTCTAAGCCTTATAACTCGCGTAATCCAAAGAACAGAAACGCATACCTTCATATAATAGCAACATTACACCACATACGAAGTGAACATACAAAAAAAGTTCACGAAATGCACGAATAATATCGCAAAATCGCGTATTTACATCTCTCATGTATAATATAATAAATTGATGGTTTTTTCTAGAAAATCACAGTGATATGGGTAAAAATTGATGTGAAATAGAGAGTACGGAGTTTGGTAACATAGGATAATATAAATTTCGTAAAAAATTTGGCAAGAATTTATTTTTTTTTCGAAAAAACAAAATTTTGTTGGGCCAAGTCTCCCTTCGACGGACAAAACTCGCCCGAAAATAGAAAAAATCGGCAGTAAATCGGACGAAACGATTTACTTTAAAAAGTAAAAGTCAAATCAAGTTGATAAATTGTGCGAAAACACAAGAGTCGAAGGTTATACGTCAGTCAACAGTTTAATACACAGAATAACCATCAAAAGCCATGGGACGTGTGAAATGATTGGCGTCGGCTGCCTCATGAGCGCAAACAAAACTTCATAAAAGTCTGAATGAAAAGGAGCTTGAATCCCGCAAAAACCCGATCAAAATCGCCGCTGGAGCTAAGTATTTAACGGCGGTTGCTTAACAAGGATAATATCGTGATGGTGCGAGGGAAAAGTGTAGTTTGGAGCTGGATTTTTAAAAGGTATAGACTATGTCTATAAAAATTGTTAAAAAGTGGCTATCTTTGGATCAAAAATATCATTGGTTATAAAACTGACGATGGGAATATCTGCATTCAAGAAAAGCTTTTGCACCGTGCAAGAATTTAAAATTGTCATAACTTTTGACTCTTTTAATTAAAAATCTTAAAAATTTGTAAAAAGATGTTAAAAGTTTCAAACCACTTCACAAAAATTTTTTAAAAGTTTTTGCAAATTGAAAAAAAATTATAAAATTTTATTGCACAGTGCACGAGTTGCAACTAATTTCGATGGTCGATAAAAAATCATATACCGCTGAAAGGTAAACCAAAAATTAAAATTGCAGTCAAATGTCCATGGATTTCCAAACAAAATTTTAAAAATTTCGAGATTTTCATTTTTCATTAAATATGGAAAACAAAATTTTTGCACTGTGCAGGCCTAATTTTATCGACTCAAAAGTAAAAAAAAGTGGAAAAATGAAAAAATTTGATATTAAAAATCAGTTAAAAATAAAAACCACAAAATATATAAAAGTTGAAAAGTCTTGTTGTTTTTCACCGTGTAAACCCGTGTATTTTGACGACAAGACTTTTTAAACTAATTAAATTTTAAAAAATCATGATGTAATATAAAAACGAAAGTAAAAGTTTAACAATACGTTAAAATAGAGTGTAATGTGAATGTGAACATAAAGTTGATCAATTGTTATTTATCAACCCGGAAACATGAATAAACACGTTATGATCAGTGGTTTGATCTTAACATATATACTATTGTTGTATAATCATTTTGATTATGTTGTCAATTCAAACAAGCTCAAAACAGCTTTTAAAAAACGTTTTTAAATCGAAACGTTTTGTTAAAAAATTTTTTTTAAAGAAATTTTTAAATTATCCACCCCCTTTTACCCCTCCCAAAACTACGTCATACTCTATTTACCTCACCAAAACTCAACAAACATTAAAATGGAGAAGTCTAATTCTCTATGATATTTATATTACCGTTCTTTGAACCAAAAACGTCATCGAAACAAGCGTTTTGTCAGATTCACCTTTGTCTTTGATCGCTCACTGGGTTAATTAGGTATTAACAAGGTTTATCTTGTTATCCGGATGAGATAACAAGTGCAACAAGTGGCTCAAACCAGGGTGAAATGACATCATTCCCTACCCTACCCTACCCTACCCTACCCTACCCTACCCTACCCTACCCTGTTCTACTCTGAACCTTTGCCCTGCTTTGCTCTACAGTATCCTACGCATCTTACCCTACCATACTCTATCCTGAACTGCATTACCGTACCTTATCTTCACCTACCGTAGCATGCTCTACTACTCTAAACCCCTGTTCTACTCCTGCCTTACTCTTTTCTTACTCTCGTTCATGCCTTGTACTAACCTGTTCCCATTTCTGCCTTACCCCTACATTTCCGTACCCTCGCACCCCTCCCTCCCCCCTCCCTCACCTTGCAGAAAAAACGAAATTTCAACCCATTTTAGACTTTTCCATCAATGAGTCATAATCAAAAACGCCGTCTATCAAGACGATATGAAAAACGCGATCAAAAGATCAGCTAACTAATTACCTTTTTCTTATCCTGCAAACCCTTTTCAGGATTTGAAACAAAAGTAAAAGTGTCTGAACCAGAAAAGATTAAAATGATGATAAAGTTGTTTCGCGTTTACGTTTTTAAAAATTTTAGATTACAAAAGTGAAAACTAAAACAAAATTTTTAAAAAATGCAAATCTGGATTTGATTGTATTAGGTTGAACCAAAAGTAGCGGGACACTTTATATCTTTAAAATTAAAACCTTATTTTCCCTTTCTCTTGAAACACCCTCCCCAACATTTTAAAAATTTTCACCCTTAAAACAAACACCTTCCCCTTCCCAACCTTCAAAAAGGCCTTCCCTCACTTTTAAAACACAAGTTTTCACCCTCCCCCCCCCTCCTTCTTCCTCTCCTCTTTAAATAAAGTTCCATCCCTCCCTTTCCATAAAACAAAAGCCTTACAATTGTTACTCTTCTACATTCTTACCTCAAATTCAACCTCCTCAAACCCTGACCCTACCCTTACACTTTAATGATCAAAAAGTAATGAGTTTTGTCACTCGACATCAAAAAACAAACGTCAGACGAAATTTACTTACAAAGTGTTTTCATTATCAGCAAGTCATAATGCGTTTTATTGCTCAAACTTTTCAAATGTTTAATCTTAAAATTTAAGTAAGGTCAATAGGAAAACAAGGATGCATATGATTAAATTCAAACGCATTGAAATATGATCTTATGTCAAAGTAATTGCTATAAAATTGGGAGTTTCAAGTGTTTAGGTTCGGTATTTTTTCCGGTGTCTACAAAGTATGCAACATTCCCTTGTATCAATTTTTAGTTTTATGGCATGGCAATAAAGTGTTAAAAGTAAATGATAAAGAAAATATTTAAACTTAGCGTGAGGACAAGGCAAGTGAAGTAGAGAAACCAGGGGCATAATGTCAATTTAGCAATTTAGGAATATTTGGCAGAGAAGTTTTTTTTGAGTTTACCCCTCCCCAAAATTTATGTTCCAATTTACCCCTCCCTAATTTTTTTTTAAATTCACCCTTCCCCAAAAATTTTTTTTGGATTTACCCCTCCCCAAAATGCTTTTTTTTTGAATTTACTCTTCCCCAAAATGTTTTTTTGAATTTACCCAAAAAATTTTTTCTTTTGAAAATACACTTACCCCTCCCTCCTCTTTTAAAGTCCCTTAAAAATAGTGTTTTAGAAAGCTAAATGTGGTCTTTTGTTGTTTCAAAAAAAAAAATACTTCTGCCTAAAAAGCCTGTCAATTTAAAATAGCGCAAGTTGTATAAAGTGATGTTTATGTTACAAATTGGTGAATTCGTTATTTAATAACAAGCAAGTGAATCAAAATTGTCAGGCTCATCATGATATCAAGCACTATGACAAAACATGCTTACACACAAATTCTTATTGTAAACATTTTTTTATTTTTCAAAAAATTTAGAAAAAACGCACTTTACTTTTGATTTCACAAGCAGTATAAAAACGGATTTAGGTTTATTTTTGTATTAAACAAACATGAAGTTATAAGGTAATTCGAAGCAAGTGTAGCCATGAAGTTATAAGTTAATCTGTAGCAAGTGTAGCTAATTGAATGATTTTTCTATTTGTCAGCCCTTGATATTTATAATATCTGTTCGTTTTTAAATCGTAGAGTAGCTTGTCGTTGTCGGTCTGAACTACGCTAGTCGAAATTAATGTACTACTCAAAACGATTTACACGAAATTATTTATATTTACGTTGTTTTTATCGTGCTAACGTCATCAACCCAGTACACGTGTTATTTTGGCCGGAAATACGTTAAAACTGTTACAAATATATTTGTACAAATAGAACAATTTATTTGTGAATACAAATAAATCTGAATGTATAGTGAGACTAACTTCAGTAGACCTGAAAATACTAATCTCAAAATACAACTCTACCACAGTCCGGTTTCCCGGCTTCGGGACTGGTTTATCCAGGCTGAAGCAAATTTTAAAGCTGCTTGTATGGAAATTTAGCCGAGTCCGAGCCTATTTCAAGACATTTTGGTGCCTTTCAAATCTGTCGTGCGGTAGGTTGTTGCAATGTCAAGCCTTTGGTCTATAATATTTGGTTCTTTAGTTTACATTGGCTGCAAACAAAGTTTTATAGAGGATGGCTGTCAAGAACAAGGAATGATGAGAATTCTTACGACTATACAAATATCTCTGATCTTCTAATTGTATTTTGATTGTTTTGATGGTATAAATGCCGGGGATTTCCGAAATAAATTCATTATACCTACAGTGGAACTCCTGTATATTGAGTTACTTGAAGGCTTGAAATATGTTTGTTATACAGGAGTTTTAAATTCCCTGTGTAGTGCTGACGGGGGATTCAAAGTTGTTCGTTATATTTTCGAAAATAGTTGAACGTGTCCCCCCCCCCCTGTGGATTTTTGGAAAATGTTTAAAAACAAGCTACCTGTGCCGATTACCCCCGCCCTCAGATTAAAAGTACTCGCCCGCCTCTGGTTACGTAGATTGGTCGGTCAATATCTCCTACATCAAGTTTTTCCCGTGCGTCAAGACGAACACCTTTATATGTATAACAATTATTTGAAAACATTGTAAATACTGCCGACATAATATGAATGTTTATTTAACACAGGTAAAGAAAATACAATATCAATGGTATAAAAGTTTGGAATTTGTTTTTGGTACAAGTGTAAACATAAAAGAAACAGTGAAACTACAAAGGAGTTAAACAAATAAAACTTAAAACGGGTACTATAATATGAAATGACATATACATCTATTTTAATACAGAATGAACCTACTGGTTGAGTAAAACAGACTATGAACAATATTACAGTAGTATACAGATCTTTGGCGGTTATTAGGTTGTTTAAAAAACTCTGTGACCGCTAAAAATGAAAATTTGTTTTGAGGCACAGAATTATTTGAACAGCCTAGTAATTCAGAAGTTAAAATTTATAATGGTACATTATCTATAGTAAAATTGGTAAGCTACAGTATACATGGTAAATTATAAAACCTAAGCATAAAGTTTTTAGCTATAAATGTAAAGTTATCAATGTACAGTCAAGAAAAATGTAAAATTTAATAAAAACGAAGATAACCATATAAAAGTACAGTAACCCCTGGGTGAACGGCACCAAGAGATCGAAAGTGTCGTGATATCAACTTCTAACAAACTTCGTTACAATAATTTTTACCGTATTTTAGACAAGTCAGCACTATGTATGTGTTTGACACATTAACACAAAAAAAATCAAAAAATTTTAAAAAATCATCATTTTATGAGCATACACAAGGTTTAAAGTACAAAAAAGTTTATATTACTTTAAATAACAACTATTGAGATCTGGTTCAAGGTATACAATCATAATAGTATGAATTAAACATAGCTGGATTACTGTAAAAATGAACAGAAATTTTATAACAAAGTATTAGGTTGTTCAAATAATTCAGTGCCCCTTCTCAAAGAAAATGTTTGAAGTAAAGAGGCACAGAATTAATTGAACAACCTAATATGTAAATTGATTCGAATATTAGATGGCTATTAAAAAGTTCTAACTCTGTAGCCAATAAGAATTGGCATGGTCAAAAACCACAGTTAGCTAACCCATAGCTTCTCCTGCAGTTAGCCAAACTACAGCTCTTCCATGTGACCGTACTGACTGAGAACCTGTTTGTACAACGGTGACGATATAAACCGAGGATACGAATCCCTTTGCATTAACGTAAAGATCTGATTCTGTGCTTCGTCAAAGGTATGAGCAGTTGGGCGGATCATGTTGTTGTTGATGATTTCTCGTACCCGCGAGTCCAGACTCACTTCTTTAGGCGAGAGAATGGAAATGAAATCCTCGTAGATGATGCGCGCTTTCTCCTCGATCTTTTCCGTATTCCGTTCACGTTTCAACTCTTCGCACGCCTGCCAAAACAGTATGTTTTCGTCCGAGTATTCTCCTTTTAGGAATTCGCCAAAGTATTTTTGACCGGCTGAAAAGGAATTGATGAATTTTGTATTTTTTAAGTGTTTATAACAAATATAAATGAAGTTTATAAATTATGCTTCAATTTTTATTAGGTTGTTTAATTAATTGTGTGCTCTTTCAAAGCAAATTCAAATTTGCTTTGGCCCAACCTAGTGGACTTTCTTTCAGGTCTAGTGTAATGGTTTTTTAAAGTTTTGCCTCACTTACTATAAAATGACGTTAGTTCATACAATACCCAAACCTATACTCAACTAAAATAATCTTCTTAGCGGCCTACGCACAAAAACGTAGAACACCAATAATAACGACTACAATTATAACCCGCAAGCGGTGTTTTAAAACCCATTCCAAGTAATCACCCTGGTATTATCCCAATTATTTAATAAAAATAGAAGTAAATTTGGCCTACGGTATGTAATTATTGGTATGTAATTACTCAGAATCAAGAATAAAAGACGTCTTAGAACTTAAGAGGTTCTGTATAACAAACGTTCTGGTAATGAACAAAAGCGTGTTGTTAATTATAATTAGATAATTATACAACAAACTTGCTGACAATTATCTACTTCATTATCGTTAAGTTTTGTGTGTTACTGAAAGGATTGTTTGGTTCGTCAAGTAGGCTTCAGTATAATAAGCATACAATTGATTGCTTTTTCACTACATAAATTTAACAAGTTGTGTACTACATAGACCTTTAATCACTGAAAAAATAATACTTAAAATGCAGGAAAACATGCTATTTTAGATTTCGCGTGCTTTAAAAATATGAAGCTTGAACCCAAAGTCAATAACATTCCTTTACACTCAGTTTTTTGTCTCAAATTTCCCAAAAAGTCATTACATTTTGTTCACATTACTTGTAACGATGTGACGCTCTTACCTTTGTGTTTCATTAATCGGTCAAACGACACGCCCCATGCGGCAACTTCTTCAAAATTTGCTCTAAAAAGGTTGTCGTTAATGATAAAATTTGTTTTGAAAATACTGATTGTTCAAAAAGTAATGAGCTACGCCCAATAGCAATTAAAAAAATCATATTATACTTGTGTAGAGCATATGATTTGTAAAAAAATCAAAAACAAAGTCCGAGAATGTCAATCGCTTACTTGTCATCAAGATCAACGTTGTTACCATTGCCGCCGGCTACATCATTGTGAAGAGCAAGGCTACAATAAGAAGAGTTAAAACATATACAACTGGTATGCCCGACCTAAGCTCATGCGTGATTTACAAATGAATCGTAAGTTCTAAGTGCAAAGAGACTACCTACAAGGCGTTTGACTACGGCCTAAAGGCTTGAGGAGTACCTCACCACAACTCGGTAGCTCGAGAAACAAGATTACTCGGATGAGGCCCCCTTGAGAAACACAGCTACAATAGATTGTTCTGACGGTCCCTACTAAAGCCTCACCATTCCCCTCATGTCTCAAATTACAAATCTTTTCCATTAAAAGCATAAAAACTGCAGTAACACTCACCCCTGACTATTGCCCATAGAACAGTTGCAGGGCAGTAGTTTCAGCAGCATGTGTCCCAGCGTGGACCCTTTGTTGTCGGACTCGGCGTCGCTCGGCTCCGCCTGTCCTTGGTTTTGTTGGGGTTGTGGCTCGACTTTCGTATTTGCGGCGGCGGTCGGTGGCCGAGAATCGACCGCTTGCAAAAGTTGGTCGCCCGTGGGTTGAACCTTAACCGTGTTTCTGGACGTACGTGACGCTGGACGAACGTCGACGACTTTTGTGCTGTACTCGGACTTTAATCCACTCGACTCGGTAGAGTCGGATTTAACTACAGTAGAACCTGTAGAGTTGGATTTGGCTACAGTAGAGTCGGTCGTTTGTGGTCGGTTTTCTACACTGGCAAACGGATGAGTTTCCTTTGAATCGAGCGACTGAACAGGTTGATCTGAGTCGTTAAGCGTTTCTACCGAAACTTCTAGTTGCTCACTGGACGGATTTTCAAAGCTGGTGGCCTCGTTTGAAATCACAACGTGTGTTTCTTGTTTGACTACCGCCGCATGCGTGTCAATTAGTCGAACCTTGCAACGTCGCTCGCCTTCAAACGATTTGCGGCTGCCGCGCTTCAAATCGTTTGTTTCGGTCTTACGCGCGACTTCAGTCCTTGTTCCAACGTTGTTCTCCGCCGTATCTATAGTACCGTTATCGAAAACCGTATCTACAGCCGCGTTCTGGACAACTGTAGCCGGAACCGAGGATTGTTCGTTGGGTTGCTCTCGACGTCTTTGAGTGCTGCGACGTCGCTTCTTAACAGTCGTATTGGTTTGTTGAAGGCAGGTGTAGGTTGTTGCGCGTGTGACCGTCGTGGTTTCAAGAGGTTACTGTAATCACAGTGATAAGAACAATGTTGCAAATGTAGAACCGTATAGATTCACAGTTTGGTAGAATCAAAAGATTCGTCGCTTGAACTATGTATGTTCAAGTAAAAGTATGTGGGATTCCAGTGTACTCCGGTGCAATTTATGGCAGTAAAATGTTGTGACGAGTTGGTATAAAGAAAAAAAACTAGTTAGTTTGGTTGACACCAAAGATTGTGTTAACTAGGAGCGATGGTACCTGAAAGTAACAAATTACTATGGGAAAGTTTTGGATAACAGTTTCAACGCATACACGGTAATAATGAAATTTTCAACGTATACACAATAATAATGACAGTTTCAACGCGTACACGGCAATAAAGAAATCTTCAATGCGTACGCGTTTATATTTAAATCCCGACCTTATACTCGATCAAACGTAACAGACATCGTTCAATACAATACATAGCATCATAGTTTATACGGAGTGCAAAATGTGCCGTACAAGATTTTTATAAATTTAGAAGTTCGTACATAACCGGAATGGCTTACATGAACGTAATAGCGAAAAAGTGCAGTTTACTTTGGCATTTATATACACGAATCTTTAAAACAATAAAACTACAAAAACGTAACCCTAAAAGACGAACAGTAAAAACACTACACTGTATGAGAATAGGATTTGGCTAGGGTGAATTAAGGATAAGTGAGGCCAAAACCTATCGTTAGAAAGGTTACAGTGCACTTTACTTTGATATAATTCGTCATTAAACCAAAAACAATCGCCCCTACAAACCACTACAATAACAGTGCTGCGGTGAATTTTGCGAATCGTCACACGCTGTAATACCTAAACTTGTACGCTGTTCAAAGATACGACTATGACACGCGAGACACGAAAATGCCGCACCAACACGCGACCATTTCCAGGTGTGTTTATGACGTCGAAACCGAGAAAAAGGCTACCGCATTTTTCCTTCACACCCTTTAAACGAAAAGTACTTATGCCGCAGGGCAAAAAAGCGGTTTTAAGGTCCGGCTTTAATGGCATTAATTGCGACACACAAAAAGCCACCTGAAATTTTTTTTTGAGCCGTTTTCGGTTTATTAATCAATTGAATTTTAGCATGGCTATACACGGTGGGGAATACGAAAACAGATGAATTGTGTTGAATACTACAAATGCGCGTTTAGGAATTCACAGTTTCGTTATAAAAGGTTTTAAATGCGCTGTGTAGTGTTTGCCAAAGATTCAAAAGTTGCTCGCTATACTGGTTTTTGTTGTAGAGGAGTTGGTTATACAAGAGTTTCACTGCATGTTCATAAACTGCAATATCTCTATAGACAAACTATGATAGATAAAACGTTAAGTTGAAAGACAACATGAAATAGATTAAAATTTACCAAAGGAATTTTGAAAAAGAAGGTTAGCTCTCAAGGATTACAGATTACGCTGAAATGTCAATAGACAGCTTCTAAATCCAAATGCGTTTTTTTACAAAATTTAGCTGTAACATATCAGATTAGACATTCTTTGACTTTTCTTATAACTAGTGTTTGGATCAGCTAAAGACGTCTGCGGCTCCAGATCTAAAGCCAAAAAATGTAAAAATTCAGTACTAACGACCCCCCGCATGGCTCCGGCTCTAAAGCTCAAGCCGGAACCAGCCGTTTCAAAAATGAACCACTGCCTAACAAAACTCTACCGTATTCCTCCACCCAAACCCATTTGCCACCCAATTTATCAACAGTCCGCTCCTGTTGTACACATACTAATAATTGTCACAACTACCGTAAACACGCTTAATCCACTTGTTTTCACGGCTGACTTTTGTGCCCGCGGGGATTTGAGGCAAAAGTACTTGGAAGGTGATAAGTTTAATGCGGACATGTCTGGCTAATTAGGAAAAAAAAACAAAACGTACGGTGTAAAAACGTTTTGTTGCGTTTAACAAATGGTTTTTAGTACACGAGGCTGCTTAATGAGCTTTACAATCTAGAAATTTAAGCAAAATTGGGTCCCATACTTTAATGACTTTTGAGTGTAAAGTGTCGTGATATAGTCAAGAGTAGGAGAAACATATTGTAGGATTGGAAAGCATAATGTAAATTTAAATGGCGGAAGATAAAAAATAAAGTTATAATTAAAAATTAATTTTTTGTATAAAGATAAAGCTGAAATTAAGATAAAGTTGGACTTTTGAAGAGACCTGTTCAGGTTTTGTTTGGGGCTCTGGAGTTCAGGCGCGTCCGCTCAGGACGGCCCTGTTCAAATTTGAAATTATTCGTAAGTCAAAAGCCTTAACATCAGATTTGCTTTACACTTTTTGCAATTCAAATCTTTCGCTGCGGAACTTACAGGGTGCGCCAAAAGTTCTGTTACACGGTTTTGTAAGCTCACTCATGCGGTTTTGGTTTAAAGACCCTTGGATCCACATAGGCCAACCCGTCGTTGTACAGATCTAGATAGAGTAAGCCTAACTTTTGTTACTAACCCTAAGGTCGCCAGACAAGCAAGACAGAGCTAGAGCTACGGGTAAAGTCACGTCTAGATAAAACTTCTGCCACCTACACAAAACAAGTCAGAAATGTACCAAAGTTCTAGAATTTCTAGACTACTAATACAGTAACACTTCTGAATAACAAATCGCTACAGTGTTTACAATGTTCGCTTCACTGCAGCATATACTATACAACACTATACGCTAAACAGTGTCAAAAGCATCCAATCCCCAACTTCGAGCCTATTATAAAACTAAAACAACAATTATCCAACCCACACACACCTACCGCGGCATATGAGAGTTGCAATTTACTGATTATAAATTGTTCGGGATTACCTAACCTATATTCACCATAGTGATATAGTGCGTTCCTCTTGGGAACCATTAAAAACGTACTGGCAGCCGCTAATTGTAGACCGTTTTAGGCTAATAATTGGGTTCCGGCCGAGTGATGCCATGTTAACACTAATAGATCAACTATGTGTTTACGATGCTATCGAGGTTATTTTTGATACAATGGCAACGACTTTGATACTTATACTTAAGACTTATAGCATGTGATAGTACTCGCTACACACTACTACTGTACTATGACTATGCTGAACCCTAGTCTTTTCATACATTATGCTTAGTGATGACAATGCCAAGATAAAAAACCAAAAAAACTTCAAAGACACTTTAAATTAACAACTAACAAAGTAATTACATACTATCTTAACATTACCAGGGTTACAACCATCGAACGAAATAACTTTTGGCCAGATTACGGTAAAGTTATTCAATGATGTAAGACTAAGGTAATGAGAAAACAAATGATTTTATTTTTAGAAAGTAAATTAACAGGTAATACGACGTTTATCAGGTTGTACAATTAGAGTACTTTGTGGTGTGCAGAGACAAGATATACTGTATTTAAGGTTGATAGAAAAGAAGTTCAGCTCAATGGTCCACCAACCCTGAACTATAGCTCACTGCTATCTCTTTTCCGCATACTCCAGCTCGACGGCCCCCTACCGCGCAATCCAGCTCAACAGCCTGTCTATTGTGGACTCCAGCTCACCATCCCACATACCCTGTACACCAGCTCAACGATCCCCCTACCATGAACTCCAGCACACCACTCCACACCACACGCAAAACAATAACCACAACTACAATGACAAACGGCGAATGTATAAGTACCAGACAAACGTCATAACTCGCATGTAAAATTCATTTGACCCAAACAAAGTCGTTCCGCAAATTAGTTTTTTTCAGGTCAAAAACCGAGTCAAACCCACTTTTTCAATTATTCATTTCCAAAAACGGGCCCAGTTCTTAAATTAGTTACGTTTCGCGCACTTTAATTATTCATCGTCTGACGTTTCCTTGGTTTTGGTAATGTTTTTTGTTGGGGAAAGTGGCATAAGGTAATAAAGATCACCTTTTCCCCACTGCCAATGTCACTCTACCGACAAAAATACCCAAAAATTTAAAATCTCCTACCAATCTCTTTCTCTATGTTTACCGGATCCCTAGGCCAAGTCAAACTGAAGGGAGTTTGAAAGGGACCAGACGAGTACATCTGGGCTCATACACAGGGATCCAAACCAAGACCCGAGAGTCCAACTTAGGTCACGCAAAAAAATTTGGGGTCTATACCAAGATCAAAAATTTTAAAGGGGCTGTGCCGGCAGCTGCACGCCGGATGCTAAAGCAAGGTCTTTTCTATGTGCCGGACCGAAACATCGATTCCAGACCGGTCTTTTACAGGTCTAAACCCACCAAATTTTAACCCAATCTCCCTTGTTTAAACTACGTTCAAAAATAAAATTCGCCGGACCAACGTCATCTTTTTGCGACAATTGGTTTAAGAAGTCATAAGAAAAAAAAATTAAAACCCAAAGGACAATTTTTTTTGAGGAAAAGTATCAAAAACAATTGTCTTAAAAATAGCCAAAATGTTACTGAGAACAGGAAGTGGGTTGTGTCGAATGTCATTTCAGACACTAAAAGGGTCGGATGTCAGGGTTAAGCCATAAGTAAAGAAATATTAATCTTTTAAGCTTGAGTTTTTGATCTTAGTCAATTCATAAAGGGACGGGTAAATCTTTCAAGAAGCGTAGCTTTGGTTTAGACTCCGGCCCCTTTATATGTTTCTTGAGCCAGTAAGCCCCCTTTCATGTATACTGACATGAAAAGGGTCTCAAGGCTAAAGCTAAAGTCATGGTTAAGACTAAGGCTAAGGCCAAGGCCAAGGCCAAGACCAAGGTTAAGGCTAAGGCTAAGGCTCAAGCTGAAGCTAATCTAAGGCCAAGGACTACTCCTAAAACTATTTTCTTCAAATTTCCCCTAAATACAAAAAATAAAACTGTTAATTAGCTCAAAACATAAGCGTATTGCAGATCCACTATCCCATTTGTAGTTGGCAAAAAGTGTGGAGCTTTGATTAGTTATATCTACCTACAAATCTGCTTCCATTTTACCGCCAATTATCGTCTCAATAATGAATTAGCCTTCGAATGTTCACTTTTCCAAAACAATTATTGGCTTATTGTCGCGGTTTAGCGGCTTCAATTTGGTGCAGAATTAAGAATAGACGGTTTTATTAACAAAAGAAGCAAAAAAATGTTGTAAAATTCGTATATAAAGAGCAAATTTTGAACCTCCAAGCTATTTGTTATACAGGAGTTCCACTGTAACTTTTATCGTTTAACTTTTTAGTACCAAAAGTTTGCTGGAAACGATAGCTGGTGATTCAGACCAAAGTGAACGGCTACTGTAAATGATCAAAGACTGACAACAGGAAAAATGATTCGATTAGCTACACTTGCTTCGTATTACCTTATAACTTCATGTTAGCTATACTTGCTTCGTATTACCTTATAAATTCATGTTAGCTACACTGGCTTTGGATTGTCTTATAACTTCATGTTAGCTACACTTACTTCGTATTACCTTATAACTTCATGTTGGTTTAAAAACATGGGTGACTAGTTTTGTTATAAAAGAAATTTTCAATGCTAGCTTTGTCTCAAGAACAATCAAAATGGGTTGTAAGCTCGTTGATGCTATAAAGTTTGCTACTGCCCGAAGCGACCATAAGTGAAATTTACAAACCCAACCAAAAATTAAAACATAATGGAAAATATAAATATTCATGAAGTGCAACTGTTTTAAATTTCAAAAAAAAACAAAAACAAACTTTTAATTTGCTTTTTCAACCATACAAAACTCCCCAATCCTTCGCTTCGAGACCCAAAAACAACGTCACCCAAAACAAAA